TGAAAGACCCTTTGGGTCTTAACCCATCCTTTTCTCAAAACCAATAATCACTAATTTATTTCCTCTACTACTAGAAACAGACGTCAAAAATCATAGATGATATTCTAAGCAATGCCGAGAAGCAAGGCACGCGTAGAAGTTAGTCTATGGAGGAGACAGTGATGTGGCACGCGTTTCTCCTTCCCTCGCTGCCACATCATCGCTATTGTCATAGCCTCCATAATAGCTAGCTAGCTTGTTTCTTTTGCACCCACCCCCCTCTCCCTCTCTCAGGCTGTCAGACAAAGATTATCATTCATTCCAGCCTGTACTTAGTCAAATTTTGAATTCACTCAAATTTTGTCTGACGCACTGTTCCCAGACTCCAAAAATCTCTCAAAACAGTGAAGCTGATTGGTACCCAGCCTGCCCCCAGCTCACCTCGAGACTCTAGGATCTAGGACATGTTTCAAACCGAAAGACCCTTCGGGTCTTCACCCATCCTTGTAAGGACCGTTTTCTTATTTCCTTATCTTTGCTATGTCTTGGCTCTCGAACACTTTTCCCATTACGCCTCTGGCTCTAGGGCTAGAGGTATCGTTTGCCGTTTTACTTCTCATAGCCCTCACAGGCTTTCTTAACCATCGCTACCATTTTATATCACAGATCAGAGACTGGGCATCGCTCCCAGCCAGCCAGCACACTGGGTAGGGACTGGTAGTAGGCATCTCGCCAACCAGCTCCAAGCCCCAGTAAAGCCTGGGTATACTAATAACGCCTTGTTCAGGATTGTACCTCATCATGAGGATACGGTTCCTGAACACGCGTGACAAACCTCTATTATTAGTACAAATCTCTCACCTGCTGATTAATCAAGTTAAAAGTCATATAATAGTTGTTTTCTCTTTTTCTTATTGGTCGATTGATTCCTCAGACCACTTTTCGTATATTCTCCTTTCGGTCTGAGGAACAAACAGTTCACTATATAAAGCCTTACTTATTTATGTATGGCTTCTTAGTTTTCTATTACTGAATTTACCCGCTTTACTCCTCAATGAAAACCTTTGAAGCTTACCTCTCAAAGTCCTCTACTCGCTATATTTACTAGCGTCTGTCGACCTCAAGCTCATTGAACCCCTTGCTCCCTGCAAGTGCAGAAGGAGACAGGTTTCGTTTTTGTTATAGTTTATCGTTGCCTCACAGTACATGCTGGGAACAGTACATATTGAAGAAGGCAGCTATGAAGGCAATGAGATGCTTTTGGGCAAGTGGTTTTCCCAGCTTCGGCTGGACTCTCTTGACGAACATAAGAAGACTGGTCTTGAACGAGTAATCCCATGGGTTGGTGACCAGCTAACAGTGGAGCGGCTACGAGGACTTTTTAGGTTCCGTGCTCAGGATCACAATTCCTTTGACCGTTTGGACTGGCTCGTACCCATCTTTGGGTGGTTTCATTTACAGATGGCATTTGCTAACTCACTGCACAAGCAGTACTTAGGGACTACAGCTGGCCGGGGCCTTATGCATGCTTTCACTTTGCTCGAAAGAAAAGGACTGGGTTTTGTGCAAACCCAAGGGCCTTTCCATCAGAATCTGCATGATGCAATCACTCAAGTTGCTGAAGCACACTTTTGCGCATGTTGGACAGTTGTGGGTGAAGTAGAGACCCTGGCACATCTCCGTTGCAAATCCCCAGGCCAATTTTTCCATCTTGCAGAAGAAATTTTGAAGACACTCGCATCTAGTACTGCCTTAGAGGCCATTCACCTGCAAAGCAAAAACACACAGGACAAAGTCTTGCGTCAGAGCATCTTGTGGAATCGTGATGTGTTGAGGTATATAGATTTAGAGAGGGCCATGGAATGCGGTGATGTGGGAATAATGGAGGAGACTCTGCCCCATCTTTTGTATCGTTTTGCGGGAGGTAATAACAAAAGGTATACTATTGAAGTGCTAGAGCTACTACAATGTCTGCAGCACGAATGGCCACCAGAACTAAAGTACAGTTCTCTCGCATTTTGTTGGAATTTACTAACTTGTACTTGACAGAGACTTTGTTCTTCACAGTTGCTGGTTGATGAACACGACCGGCCACCCCCTCGGATTTCTGCCTATAGACAAAGGGCAGGAACATAATATCAAGGACACAAAGGTTACATTTGGAACTCGTGGCCCAAATGTATCTTGGGCTCTTATGAAGAAAACTTCCCCAGCCATTCCCACACTCAGAGCTGTGCGCAAGCATACAGAACTTCAAATTTGGACGCTTCAACGAGGCCTACACCACTCTGACCCACTCAAGGAGAAGGATATCAAGATCCTGCATAATGCATACATTGCCTCAAATATTCACACACAGCAGGATGGACGAGAGGTGAAGACTAAAGCAGATGGGACTATGGATGTTGTGACGAAAGGATCTTTCAACATACTCACAAAAGGGACATTGGCAAGATGGTGGAATAATAGAAGTTATGTTCGGGCAACACAGGAGATATGGTAGGGTAGTGACAAATGTACTATAACGAATGCCAGAACGTATTACCTGACCCACGGAGGATGGAGGAAGTCCATGAGTGTATCGTCTGTCAGTAGCATGGGAGGGTGAACAACTCGAGGCTTGAGGTAAGCGGTACTGAGAGATATACCAGAATGTATTACCTGACCCACGGAGGATAAAGCGAGTCCTTAGTATATCATCTCAAGGGGAGCGGCACTCTCGAACAAGAGGATAAAAGATAAATATATATATTCACTTGTTCTATATACAGTACTATAGTCCAAGGTATTGCACCTCCTGCTAGCCCTTGTAGGTCTCCGTATTGGGCTGAAAAGAACTGGCAAAAAATGAGGGAGTGAAAGGTGAAAACGACGGCACAGCAGTGGAGGATGATGGTGTTAAGGTCCAGGTGGCATACAAAGTTTGAGTTGCGTCTAGCGGGACTGAGGGTGTGTTGACATTTATTTGGAACCTTACAAGAAAGAGTATCAGTGGTATCAGCCGGTAAGTAAAGAAATAACTTACTCTGAGGTACCAGGCAGTGGTACATTTTCTTTACCACTTGCGCTGGAATTGCGGACTCGGTGTGAGCTTCGTTTCTGCACTTTCAGCTCCCTTCCTATAGCCTTCTTCTCCTCCTTCACGGCCTCCCTTGCAAGCTTCTTTGCTTGGCGTTTCTCGACTTTGGCCCCTTCACAAGACTCTTGCACTTTGTCATCCAACTGCCTCACCAAGTCCAGAACCTCACCACCATATACATCAACTAATGGCCATGAGGCCCCGAGAGATCCACAAAGATCATTGATCGTTTTCCACAAACAATTAGAGGCTATTGATTTTAGAGTGAGATTGGGGAGAAGGGCGAGGCCAGTAAATGAGCAGTGGGGATAGTCACACTGGCGGATAGTCACACGTCAATGGTCCAGAGCATCCTTGATGGTTTGGAGATGTTGGCCTGTGCGTCGAGTGAGTGGGGAATTCTGATCAGCAGTTTTCATCACATGCTTGCCCATTGCATTCTGTTCATGGGTAGGTGTGTTTTCCTGCTCCTCGTCGCTAGTTTTGGAGGATGTGTGAGCAGGACTGAGTGGAGGTAAAATAATATTGGAGGGCATAAGGCCCGTCGCAGTTCTGTCACAGTTGTCACAGCAGACGCTGGTAGGTGCTAGGTTCAAACATCAGAATCTCACGCTGCCACAGAAAATGTGCAACCTACGTGTACGGCTGGGTGGATTATTGTAAAATGCATCTGCAATATCACGCCAACCACCTGTGGTTTCAATCCAGGCTCGAAGAGGCTCTTCTATTTTCTTGCGGTACATTGGATCTTTCTCTATTCCAATCTCGTGGTCTGAGTCTTCAAGCTCATCTTCTGACTCTAAGTTCTCTTCTCCAGTTCTGCCTTTCTTTTTTTTACTAACACTTTGAAGCACTGACACTTCAACCATCATTATAGCACGTCCTTGAAGACTGAAGTTGCGGACAGCTCAGCCTGCTCTTTGGAGCCATACTGACAGTGATGATGGGACTCCAAATTGGATCACCAACTCGACATCTGGTATGTCGAGTCCCTGTTTAATTATTAGACAAAGCAAGCTTATTAAATTGATTCAAATGCTAACCATGCCACCTATTTCGGTCACAAACATGACCCTTATTTTTCCTTCACGAAAGTCACGCAAGACAGTTTTCCTGGTGCGTGGCGAGCGCCTGGCATTCAAATAACTGATTTGACTCTTTAGTTGGTCAGATACAATTCCATGGAGTCTCCAAAAGCCAGCCTGGGACTGACTAACAGTGTTAACAAAGATGAGTGCCCGTGGTATTTCATTGGCAGCCTGTGCATCTTTGACAATGAAATCAAGGGCCGAATAGTCTGTGGAGCCAGCGATGATGCGAAGCTCCTGCGTTACATTAGGTCGGTCATTTCCCAAGTTTAAATGAAAGGATTTTGATGCGCTAATGTGCAGTGTTTTTCGAACCTTGGCCAAGACAGCAGGGGACATTGTAGCTGACATTGCATATATAGGTGTGCCTAGAGGCACAAATGAACGGAGCCTATTGAATTTAACATACACTGGCCGAAAGTCACCTCCCCACTGTGAGATACAGTGGGCTTCGTCAACTATGTATCCAAGTACACATTTCTGAAAAGCAGGTGAGCACAACAATGCATTGAATTGGGGGTTTTCAATTGTCAATTCTGGTGATGCTAACAATATTTGATATTTAAGGTCCTCGAGCTCCTACAGATGCCGACGAGTTTAAAGCAACATAGAGACTCGAGAAATAGACTTACCTTGTGTAAGTCTTGATTATATGTGTCTCCATTTACTGCAACTGACTGTATGCCCCATGCACGAAACTGATCGGCCTGTTCCTCTTCTATAGTTTTCAACGGCGATATAACGACTGTCATGCCATCCTTCTGTATGAAGGATGGCATGGCATAAGCCAAAGTCTTTCCAGATCCTGTGCCAGCAATAATGGTGCAGTCGAGTCCCAAAGTAAAGGCCTCAGCAGTGTCCACTTGCCATGAATAGGGGGTGCGGCCATTGCATTGTTGGCGGACAAAATTTCGAAGTGATTCTTGTAAGTCTGCTTCTTGGCCTGCCGCTTCAGCTTTCTGACAAGCCTCTACAAGGTTGGTATAGGATTTCTTTTTGATGGCTTCATGGGATAGATATTCTGTAGGGACAGTGACCACTTAATGAAGCATGGAGAGTGACGAATAATTGAATGATCATTGAATATGGGACTCGTCAATATTTTCTGATTTCTGTACTACTAAGCATAATTACATCATGATAATCTTAGTCTAAAAGCGGCAATCAGTTGCCTGAAAGAGTCGAGTGTCTGTGACACTGTGACTCGATGCACTCGTCCTAAGACGAAAGTCTCCAGACGTTTTGGGAACCTCTCAGCGCGGCTTATCCCGCGCCTTCCCAAAACGTCTGGTTCGAGATTAGGTACGTACTGAAGCAGAGCTAGCGGTCTTTGATTGATTATCTTGGTGCGTGATTGCTTGTTTTGGTCGCTTAGTCATGACTTCATCATTGTTTTTGTTTCTCCAGAGGCTTTGAGGCCCCAATCAGCTCAGTAAGTATCTGGCATTGTAGGGGCCTACCTATTGACGTTTTCTAGAAAGATATTGCAATATTCCCAGAACGAGATCTGGTCAAATCTGGCCATCTTTCCCTCAAAATTCACACTTCTGGGGTTCAAGAGCGTAGTGTCAGGTCTGTCGTTGTTGCTACAGATAAGCTATTCACTAAATTCGTTCACAGTTATATTCTCTCTACTCTATTCTACATCTGACAAATTTCTAGCTACCTGTACGGTGATTGTTGAGCCTCTGGAGGCCCGAGTGCATGTCTCTTACCGGTTGCATCCGGTGTCCGACGATAGTATGGTTCAATATTTGTAGTGATGAGTGGCGAACTTTGGTAATGCAATGATAACGGCTTGGAACGTGGTTCATTGATGACAGGAGCATTGCGAGTGGATACCATGATCGCCTCGATTCACAATCCCCCACAATGGTCGATATCTAAATATGGTAAGGAACGAATATGGATATTGACTACACTCATTTCGTTTTGTTGATACTTATTATGATTTCGCTTCAAGTAAACCATGAAACCCTCCGGACATGTCCATATGAAAGTGACCTTTATCATGTTCGACTTGACGTTCTTCGATTTCCAGTCTTATTCTATTCCTTCGTGTGTGCATGCACTATCATCGACTTCTTTGAGCGCCCATTTCTACCATCATCAATGCACTATTTATGCCCATGTCCACTCCAAGCCAACCCACACTTCTCTCCCCGCTTCATTGCCTCCCTCTCTCAGCTCCAATGTCCTCTCCTGGTAAGTGTCATCAACACAAGCCGCAGTTACAGCTTCCAATGACGGCGAAGGTCCTAACCATCCCAATGGCCATGCCTCTCTACCGCCCACTATTGGTCCAGGCATATTTACTGGGGCCAACAACACCCACATTCCATATGGCACATTCATCGATACTTCTGGAAATTCGGGACTGAGATTCAATATCAACAATAGTTTTGCTTCTGGCCGTGCGTGGGATTTATCTGTTTATGACCACGAGTTCAATCTTCGTAATTAGCTCCTCAACGCTTATACGACCTGCTACAGCCGGTTCGTGCTTCGTACGAAGACCGCTCAGGTAAACGGGCTCGATGCTTGGTAGGCACTCGAGAATGTGTCTTAAACGACATCAAAACATGGGTAGATGGTGCTATCCCAATATGCTGGCTTAATGGCCCGGCTGGCTTTGGGAAGTCGACCATAGCGCAGAGCGTAGCAGAGTGGTGTGCTAGGGAACGGAGGCTTGCCGCCAGTTTTTTCTTCTTTCGGGGAACAGGAAACCGGGATAATATATCCCATTTAATTCCTACTCTGACTTTTCAGCTGTCGACCTGTATCAAAACCATCAAGCCGCTGATAGAAAATGCCCTCGTTGAAGAGCCCTTTCTCACTCATCGGGATACTTCACTCAGCTATCAATTTGATAAATTGATCATGGCCCCCATGCTTTCCCATGCACGCTCAACATCCACGCAGAACGGTGTCGTACAAAAACCCATGGTGATAGTTATTGATGCCCTCGACGAGTGTGAAATTGGGGACGGAGAATCAATGGATAAGTTTATCGACGCTGTCATTGAGGCATGCAGGTCCAAGGGAGACCGGGTCCCGTTTCGATTATTCATCACAAGTAGAGTCGAAGAACATCTTCGGTTAAAACTTGAAACCATAGATGCCAAGGAGGTCTCCCTTCAGCTGAAGCTGCAGCATTACAACACTGGAGCGGACATTCACATGTTCTTTGAGTCTGAATTTGCCAATATATATGCCGCCAATCGCCTACTCATGGTTGCGGATTGTGTATCAGAGCCTTGGCCTTCTTGGGACGTCCTTAACACCCTGGTCCATAAAGCTAATGGGTCCTATATCTATGCATCGACATTCGTCAACTTTGTTCAGCAAGCGGGGGGGATGGCGAACCAACGACTTCTAGATGCCTTGGAGGCACATGGCCTGGATCCTCTGTATAAGCAAGTTTTCTCCAAGGCTTTATTTTCGGAAGTTGCACCTGGAACTGTGGTTGACCTCATGTGGGCAATGGGATTCCTGTTATGTCTTGAATACCCGCTGTCCATCCAAGACCTTGCTCTCCTGATGGATGTACCGCCACGAAACCTTGTCAGGTCCTTTCTCGGAATTCAGTCCATTCTCCTTATTCCCGAAGCCGACGACAGTCCGGTGCACCTAACCCACATATCGCTCCGAGATTTTCTAATGACAGAATCACGCTCGGGTGTCTATTTCACTAACCCCTCTCATTGTCATGCTTCCATTGCAATATGTTGCCTGAATATCATGCAGAGAAACGGGGACCTCTTTTGGTTTACAAATGCGCCCTTGCGGTATGCATTCCAGAACTGTCTGGACCATCTCCAAAAGGCTGTTGATGGTTGGGAGAATTACCATTCCGAGTCATCTTTCTCTGTTTTACTGAGCATTTCTCTAACCAACTTCGCCACAAGTAGCAATGTATTCACTTCTTGGATACATACTGCCATCCGATATGGGCTACCAACCCGCTGCTCAGAATTACAGACACGGATTGAGGTAAGTTAGAACACTTGTGTGAAATGCATCTAACGCAAATCCGGTGCAGGACTTGTTGCGACGCCGCCAGAATTCATGTTTGGCTCTAGGGAGTCTCAGTAACATGATTGAGAATGCAAAAGTACGAAATTGTTTCTGATTCATGATGACGAAGCACTGAGAATCTTTTTCCCCAACCCACAACACTTCAGAATGTGCGTATATTATACCTTACATTAGAGGATGCTGATATCCCACTTTGTTTGACTCCGGCATGTGGCTAGTATGTGGGTGGTAATATTTTGCGATAGATGATTATTGACCCAACATTTTTATTGGTGCATTGGCTCGGCAGATAGTGAGTCAATTGAAAACAAGGGCGTTGAAACTGAGCTGATGTACATCCACTATACACAGAAAGTATGTCATTTTCAATATACACACATGTTATAAGGAGATGACTGCGCAAACAGGACGTAAGTAACATAGTACTATCTGCATAGCAAATATCTCAAAGGCGGAACACTAATGAGTCTACTGAGTCAGTTTGTGCGTTGTCCAGTCATCTAATCATATTACCTTCTGATCTGCTTTTGCACGGTTATCAAAAATATTGCTGTTTCGAAATTCCATGTTTCAGTGTGTGCGTTACTCAAGAAATGAATTCTTCCTGTAAGGCTTTCTACTGAGGCTTTATGTGCTTTCTACCCTTTAGAACGTAAGTGTTTATATACGCTGGATTTCTTGCTGAATTTTCTGATCATGGCATTATGCTTCGACAGTTTCACAATCTTGTATGTGCCCAATATTCTTCCACTGGAAATTTTCCAGGTGGCTCACCATTGCTGCCCTACTATGCGTTATCAATAGCCTGTGTGTAGCCATTCTCCACTTTATGCAAGGGTTGCCACTGACATTGTGATGATCTTTGTTGAATACACTTGAACACTGTCCGCTAACCGCTCCACGATTTCATGGTGGCCTTCTCAGGAAGTACGTCGCTCTCAAACTTATTTAGCCAGACTTGGCACTGACTGCCATGCCCTCCCTGACATTCTCAGTTTGTACGTCCCTCTCGATTTTATTCAGCTAGATTTGGCACTGACTATCATGCCCTCCTTGACATTCTCAGGGAGTATGTTGCTCTCGATCTTATTCAGGCAGATTTGGCACTGACTGCTATGCCCTTGTTGACATTCTCAGTTTGTACGTCGCTCTCGACCTTATTCAGGCAGATTTGGCACTGACTGTCATGCCCTCCTTGACATTCACAGTTTGTACGTCGCTCTCGACCTTATTTAGCCAGACTTGGCACTGACTGTCATGCCCTCCTTGACATTCTCAGCAAGTCCGTCGCTCTCGATCTTATTCAGCTAGATTTGGCACTGACTGTTATGCCCTCCTTGACATTCTCAGCCTGTACGTCGCTCTCGATCTTATTCAGGCAGATTTGGCACTGACTGTCATGTCCTCCTTAATGTTCCTAGGGAGTACGTCGCTCTCGATTTTATTTAGCCAGCAGATTTGGCACTGACTGTCATGCCCTCCTTAATGTTCCTAGGGAGTATGTCACTCTCGATCTTATTTAGCCAGACTTGGCACTGACTGTCATGCCCTCTTTGACATTCTCAGCCTGTGCGTCGCTCTCGATCTTATTTTAGCCAGAATTGGCATTGACTGTCATGCCTTCCTTGACATTCACAGTATGTACGTCGCCCTCGATCTTATTTAGCCAGACCTCGCACTCATTGTCGTGCCCACCTTGATATTCTCAGGGTGTACGTCACTTCGTTGCCTTATATGTTGTGCTTTGGCTCTCCCTAAAGCCTTTTATATATTCTTCTGCTCTTTTGATGACCTCAGGATGTACGCTGCTTTCTTCTTATATTAGCAAATTCTCTTTCCACTCACAGGTCGCATTTTTGCTCGATCTCCAGGATGTAAGCTGGTGGTCGTCTCCTGACTGCATACTAATCATTACTTCTGTATTCATGTCATCAGAAGACCCGCAATGTGTGTGTTATCTTCTAGTGTAAGTGCATATTTTTCTTGTCAGCGGACCTGTTTCATTCACAAGTTTCCCATCTTGCATACAGTATCCGTGCCGTACAGCCAATACTGACTACATGTGAACGGTGAACCTGAACTTAAAGATGGTTAGGAATATTCCTTACATTGTGCGAAAGCATTTTTACCAACTTCCTCGCACCGCAGATTGTATGTTTTGTTGTTTCCCATTACGTTTCGTCAAAAGTTACGAACATATTCATTTTGCGCACTACGACCGGAAATATGTAGATTGTACGAAATCAGCTTGCTTTATAGTCTTTCTACGTTCAGCACTAATATATACATTATCCTTCACGTTCTTTGCAGAAAGTAAGTACACACACCGATCTGAACTACTTTTGAACTGCTAATCATCTTTACTTCTAGTGGGTATGTAGCTCGTTTCATCCTGACCTCATGAACGTTGGTTCAATGTCATACACGTGATACGCTCGATCGATAGCGAGTATGTGAACTTTACTTCTTTAATTTTCGTGTCCCTAAAACCCCTACCACTACAGCAAGCGCGTCACGAGGAGCAGTTACAGACGGAACGGATGAAGGCTTCACGCACCCCGCCGGTCTTTGAAGGTTAGTTCCTGATATCAGCCCGAGCTTTGCTGTGACATAGCAAGTTCTCATATATCACCATTCCACCACAGAAGGGCCAGGAGAGCCGTTACGGAAAAGGCAGAGACATGCCTGAAATGCACTTTAAGGTACCCGCTTATTGTGGGTGGGCGAGCAGGATGTGGCTCGTGGTGCCTGTGTGCCCGGTTTCAGATTTTTAGGTATCATCATCTTGCGATTTCGTATTAGAAGCGATCTAGGGTCTTTTTCGGGGTTTCTGTTGGACGTGTCGTAGCTGATAGACGTTGGGTGGTGAAATGATTGATAAATGGGCAGATTTCAAGGGCGAGAGGGAGAGGGAGATGGAAAGATGGTGTGAGGATGGGGTTAAGGCGTGTTTTGGTTTCTTCTTTTGCTATGTATTTCATCATGCCAGATTTTTCGTATGTTGACCGCTGCCTTTGTATTCTGAATCGTTAGACCTTGATGGTCGTGCATGGTACAAAAACATTGCAAGATTAAAGATGCGGTCACAACAAAGCTAGGCAGTCAAACTCGGGGTACCAGATAATGTTTAACTTTGCTGGTGGCGACCGCGTAAAATCTCCTTTCTGATGAGTCCGTTCATGGTGCTTTGTGCTTTGCGTTCTGAGTAAGGAGGTATAAGTAGATATTACAATTAAGATCCTGTCCTTGTACAAGTGTTGGAATTACGCTAGAATAGAGGCTAGACGGTATAATTAAACGATACGCAATGGTCAGTCAGTCCAGGGTGATGGGGATAGTGTAGGACTGGGAGGGGTCTGAAGTCAGGCCCTTGATATTATACGCCCCGAAACGTGAGCAGTTCTGCGAATCGTAGCCATGAGAAACTAGATAGAGGTGCATTGGAACATTTTAGGTATCGGATTTTGAAGAAAATATGGAAGAGCGGGTGGGGTCGGAACAATGCCTCATCGGTTTACCACAGGAAGTCTTACACTCAATCGTTGGTAAAGGAGTCGAGCCGTGGAAGGCAGAGCGGGCATGCACAAAGTATGTCCGAGTCTCAGTGCGTGTGCGCGAGGGGGAGGGGGGGTATTTGAAGTTCGTGGCTTGGATATAGCGACTATAGAGTAAGGAGGTTGTAGAGACTCAGGATGAGGCCTCGATACACTTTCTTCTAAGAAGTTGACGACTAGCGATTAGTTGATGCATTCACAGGTCGCTCTCGCTTTGTACGTCGTACACCCATAGCTATAGTACTCTATACCTAAGTACCAAATTTAGAAGTTCAAGGCCGCGGAGTATGAATCTGGAAACTGCGCGTGTCTCCCACTGGCTTGTCTTCATAACACTAAAGGTATCAAGGTCGTCTTTCAAAGTGAAAAAGACTGTAACGTGACCACTAGCATCCTATTATCACCAAGTACTTATCGTTCTCACTAAATTGGGTAAACACGACAACTGATAACCAACGTTTTAGCCAAACGAAGTCTGAGCAACGAGTTCCTAGAATGCTCAGTCCTTCAGGTTCAGAAGCTTCATTCGTGTTTGTTGGAGATGGATCAACCAGAGACGTGGTAAACAGGCCTTTACAAGCGGAGACTTCCTCTAGTGATGTTAGTGACGAGGTCTCACACGTTTGTGTATTCAGTTGCTTGAATTTATCCTTACGCTCATGCATTTGACACTACACAATGTTTTTAGCCAGTTATTCATCCGTCGTGCGAACCCTCGTACTGCCCTGGGTCTGCAGCTTCTTTTGCGCACGATTGGTCTGCAACTGGCACGGGAGGGAAGCTAAAGACACATGGTAGACATTTCCTGGATAGTTACGGTAGAGTGTGCAGCTTGAGAGGTGTCAATGTGTCGGGCTCTAGTAAAGCGTATGTATCAATCATCATATGTCATTCGTATATGAAACTTACGATGCCCTCGCAAAAGCCCCGCCAACCACGACAATGGTACATTCCCTGCCAATCACGATACAGTGACTTTCGTGGGACGTCCATTTCCAATCAAAGAAGCACACGAGCATTTCTCTCGACTGAGGAGATGGGGGCTCACATTTAGTAAGCTTATGCATTTCCTTGCTTCTACTTGTCAAACTGATCTTTGCATTGTAAGTTCGGTTTCTCGTGACTTGGGAGGCAGTTGAACACGCAGGACCGTACGTTGATAATTTATACGCGTGTCTACTCCTCTTTAATTGTTCATATGCAGGGGATTGTACGATCACGGATATCTCACTTACATTCATGAGCTCTTGTCACTTCTTCCTCGATACGGGATGTCTGCTTTCATTGTTGTTCATCAAGACGTATGGTCCAGGTATTCGGGCGGTTCAGGGGCTCCAGCATGGACTCTTGAATCCATTGGCTTCGACCTTCACGCTTTGGAGGAATCCGGTGCTGCGTGGTTGTTGGGGGTGAAAGGTGGTGGACACGTCGAGGCAGAACGCGGGATTTGGCCTTGTGGATACCAGAAATTGGCAGCTGCGACCATGGCGTAGGTTCACAATGTTTAGAAGAAATGGACCTTGCTCATGCACGATTATAGCACTTGTTTCTGGGCAGGTGATACCTTTGCACCCAAGTTGAAAATCCAGGCTCCAGACGGGCAGTTAAAATCTGTTCAGCAGTACCTCCAAGATGCATTTCTAGATATGTACACGGTTGTTGCGCAGAGACTAGGGGATCTAGATGGTGTACTTGGGTTTGAGGTGCTACAATCCTTTTTTTTCGTTTCGTTTCATAGCTAATATGCGCTGTGAAAGATTATGAATGAACCTCATCGAGGGTACATAGACCTCCCTTCGCTGTATGCTTTCGATTATAATACAGATTTGCATCTATCCCACGTTCGTAAGTACTCCAGCTTTATTTCTACTCGTTGCTCATATGCCCGCCCATGTCAATCCATAGCTTCTGCATTCCAGTCTTTTATGCTCGGGTCGGGTTATCCTACAGAGATTGGCCACTGGACGCGCTCCTTTCCTATGCCCACTCGCCTGACGTCTAACACTGTCTTGAATTCGGCTAGCAGGAAGGCATGGCGCACAGATGGCCCTACACAAGGCAAATGTGTTTGGGAAATGCACACCGTTTGGGGCTGGGACCTCGACAAGAATGAAGGTGTGGTGCTGCGAGAAAACTACTTCGTCAAAGATCCAATGACGGGTCGCAAGGTAACATACTTCTTAGTGATTACAGAGATTGCATGTTGACAACCACAGGTTGATTGGTATACCGATTTCTACTACCCGTTTCTCAGAAGATGGGCGGATCGTGTCAGAAGTGTTTCTCCTAATGATAAGATACTGTTCGTTGAGCCTATACCAAACGAAGTAAGTTGATTTCCAATTTCAGGAAGGCACTCTAAGATTTTCGTCTAGTTTTGTCCCTCTTCATGGACACCTGAGCGCCAATTACCGAACATGGTCTTTTCACCTCATTGGTGAGCGAAACACGCTATCAGATATTCCGATTCTAATGTCGATATGATAGGTATGACCTGAACGCCTTATTTGCAAAAGCCTTCGGGGACTTTACGGTCAATGTTCAAGGTTTATCCAGGGTATGGAATTATCAGCTACATCGAACGTTTTGTTTGAGATTTTCCCTCGCTTTATAGGGTATGTTTCCCTTGAAGGCATTTTATTGGGGCCAGCAAGGTGCTCGAGACAACTTTTCATTGCAATTACGCAACATAGTAGAAGCCGGGTACAAGGCACTAGGAGAAAAGCCTGTCCTAATCGGAGAGTGTGGCATACCCATGGATATGAAGTAGGACTTTTTTGATTACATGGTTCTAAACCAGTGCACTAAGTCTTACATTCTTTAGTCACAAAGAGGCATTTATGGATGACGACTTCAAGTGGCAAGCACGTATGATGGACGCGATGATGACAGGACTAGAGCAGGCTCTAGTGGGCTTTACGTATGTTAAACCACCTGCATGTCAATACACCGTGCATGGCTGATGCTTTTCTAGCCTATGGAATTATAATCCTGACAACGACGATGAGAAGGGTGATGACTGGAATGGCGAAAACTTCTCGTGGTTCAGCCGTCGCCGTGCCATGCCTCCGATATTATTGGATTTTGATCAGACATCTTTCACGCTGGATAACGGAGCGCGAATTTTGCCCTCCGTAGTGCGTCCCTACCCTGCAAAGACTGCAGGTATACCAATTGGTTTCAGTTACGAGATGACCACAGGAGTATTCACATATGAGTGGGCTGTCCCTGATACATCCGATCAAAACTTTAGTAAGGGCACAAAAGGCAACTCCCAGAGTAATGCATCGGTCTCACGCCCCCCGCTCTCGGATCACCCTGCTGTCAACGCTCGAGAGACAGAAATTTATGTTCCTTCCCTGCTCACTCACGGAAGGAAACTTCTGGTCGAGGGACTGGAGCCCGAGGACAAATACTTTTATGACCCGGCCCGACAAACGCTGTATATCGTCCCCCATGACTTCAAGCCGGGAAAGACTCACAAAGTCACAGTTTCAATCAAGCCTCCTCCCAGACCTGCTTTCCAAGTCAATTCCTTCTGGAGTGACTTTGGGGAGATGTTCAGCTCTGGCTCAGTCGTCTTCCTTGGCATATTAATATTCATCTATACCCGGTACAACGGTTGATCGTAGAGGACGGATTGTACATTCATGAACAGCTTAATAGTGTTACAAGTTCAAGTTGTGGATACCAGATAGATGCTCTATGCGTAAACACAGGCCTGGAAACTCATCGATCGAGATGATATATTTTGGGTGCTATATAGATGGATTTAAGCTTTGAAACTTGGGGTACTGAAGACTGTCGTGAAATATTTCAAGTGAATGGACTTCAAGACCTATTCAATACGCGTTCCACCATTTTGGTTGACAATCCCAGGTAATTTTCAGGGTCACATAAGCTTTCTAGCAGAGAGCGCGTTAAACCACTGTGCTTGATTTTGTCATCTTGTAATAGAAGATCAATCAGAGGTACGTCCCGTCGTGCGCTTTGCCTGCATATATCGTACACCAGATCGTGTGCAACCTGTCTCCCAAGGCTTGGCCCGAGACCCATCATCACAGCTTCAGATACTATAGCGCCTTTGGTGATCTCGAGATTTTTCTTCATAGCTGGAGGATGAACCTCAAGTCCGGCAATCAATTCGGCTGTCTTTACCAGTGTTGCATGGGTCAGTGTGCAAATTTGTGGAAGGGCGATCCATTCGATCTCCCAAGGCCCGGTTGACCTCTCGTGGTCTTCGACCATGGCCTCATATAAAGCGGTAGACAGCTGACGAACAGTGGCTGACATGGCCGTGATATAGGCGCATGAGATTGGGTTTCTCTTCTGGGGCATCGTCGAAGATGAACCCCTGTGTGGGTAGTACGGTTCAGAGACCTCTCCTACCTCCGTTTGCATCATGAGCTTGACATCGAAGGCGAACTTCGAACACGTCCCTGTGAGCAGCGCGAAGTATCCGCCAACTTCTGCGATGCGATCACGTTCCGTATGCCATGCTATCTCAGGTACTCCCAATCCCAGCTCCTTTGCCAATTCTTCTTGACATTCCAAACCACGACCATCTGAAATGGTTGCCAATGCTCCAGCTGCTCCACCAAACTGGACCACGAGCAGTCGCGTGCGGATTTCTGCAAGACGCTGTCGATGGCGGTAGAACGTAGACAACAACCGTGCGAGTTTGAAACCGAAAGTGATGGGTACTGCTTGCTGCAGATTACTGCGAGCAGCCATCGGGGTGGCTTTGTGTGTTTCACACAAGAGGCGTAGACTATCACAGATTTTGTCCAATGCTTCAGATACTAGGTTGAGGGTGTCACGAAGCTGCAGAACTGTGGCCGTGTCTGTGACGTCCTATTACCAGTGTCTAGGGGTAGTTTACTAAACGATATGAGGCCTATAGAACGTACCTGTGTCGTGGCGCCCCAATGAACCCATTCCCCAAGACTAGGCTCAATTGCGTTTACATTGTGCACAATCTGCTTGACGACACCTAGCACGGGATATCCTATCTGTTCGGTCTGTATTCTCAGCTCTTCGAAATCAATATTCTGAACCCGGCAAAATTTCACGATCTCATCTGCAGCTTTCTGTGAGATAATATGGAGTCTGGCTTGTGCGATTGCAAGAGACGATTCGAAAAGAAGGTAATAGGATGTGCGAGTGGTATCTGACCATATCGCTGAGGATTCAGGACTGGAGAAAATGTTCCTGAATATCACTGAATCGGTTACTGAGGTCATTCTGACAGTTTGACGAGTTGAGAATCGTAAGCCGACGCAGTCAGGAGCTGGAAGAACGAAGGCTGCCTATTGAAGTCGCCTTGGGCGCTACAGTATTGGTTTCCGGATGATCGACCATTGGAGTAATTAATGAGCCTGCACTCCAATTTGTTCCATAACATTGGAGAACGCTTGCAATGGAAGTCTTTCTGACCGTAAATAACTGCGTCCTGAATGATGGGCAGGTGAGCGCTAGCTCATGGTCCGAGTTATACCTGAAGTGATGGTGACATAGCAGGACAGTCTGAGGTAGTATGTCAGACCGTCCAGACACGCCCCGACGCTGCAGCTGTGACTATGTAGCCAATGCTGTTGCTGTTCCTTCGAGGGCTGGCCTAGGGCTGCAAGAGACTAGAACAGTGTAGATTGCACGAAAGGAACAAAGACAAAAATATGTTCGCTTGTGTCCACGCGTCTCTGTCTGCGCGCTCTATCAAACCAAGCTTCCTTTCCTCTATCTCTCAGCGTCCATGTGGAGGAACGTTGTCATCTCCTGGGAAAACGAGGATCTATAAGTACGAAATGGCATTCCAGTTGGGGGTTCAGTGTATCCTCCATTTGCAGTTCAAGTTTGGCCGTGGTCATGGTTCTGCAGTCCATCTTCCGTACAGGCCTCACCGTCCTTGCAGGCGCTTCTGTCGCAAGTACATTCCTCACCGAGACACCTCATATCGAAGTTCGTTCGAAGATTCACAATGAAACTGGATTGCGATATGTGAAGAACTCAGGTATATGTGAGACCACACCGGGCGTAGAGCAGCTTTCAGGATACATTGATGTCGGCACCAACATGTCTATGGTATGTATCTCATATATCCTGTCGCGCTCATCACTCATGTACTTGTAGTGGTTTTGGTTTTTCGAAGCTCGAAATTCACCTGAAACCGCACCTTTTACCCTGTGGTACGATATTTGTTTTTGACGTGCTATATAATGACTATTGACGTGATATGACCTCTGTAGGCTCAATGGTGGTCCTGGTTGCTCCTCCATGATTGGGCTCTTTCAAGGTGAGTTACTTTAAAATCATGCTACAAATACAGTAAACTAATTCTCGATGAAATACAGAGAACGGACCTTGCCATGTCACCCCCGATGGAAATGCGACGTTTTTGAACCCTTACAGGTGACGAATGAATTTTTTAGACTGAAATTCCTTCGCTGAAGAAAATATATGCAGTTGGAACAATGTCAGCAACAGTGCGTTCCACGTTCCATGCGAATCACTGACAAGGCTAACTCACAGGCTTCGAAGTCATATACATCGACCAACCAATTGGAACGGGGTTCTCTTACGGGAATGACACTGTCAATAGTACTCAATCAGCTGCACCTTTCGTCTGGACCGCATTCCAAGTACTGTTCGAGAGCAAGCAGTTTTCGAAATATGCAAGCCGAGAGTAGGAACACACAGTCGTATGGTTTACTTCGTTGGTACTAAAGCACGTCTAGGTTCATCTTTGCAACGGAAAGTTACGGTGGTCATTATGGACCTAGCTTCGTCACATATTTCGATCAACAGAACGAACTGATTGCACAAGGTGAATTAGAGGGCGAACCCGTCGTAGTCAGTGCACTAATGATCAACAAGTGAGTTCACGACTGAGCCCGTAGGCCAACTACTAACGTTGTAATATCACAGTGGATGGTATGACCCTCTCATTCAGAATGAAGCTTATGTCAATTTTGCGACGTACGCACCTGGTTACGGACAGCTACAGAATGACACGGTCCTCAAGAATATATCTGAAGCGTTCTATGGACCTGATGGATGCATGGTTCAGGAAGAAGCTTGTTATGCTGCTGGCAACTCCACTGAATCCAACAAGATTTGCCTGAAGGCTGACAACTACTGTGTTAGCACGTCGTCACAAAATTTCACACTACGAAGACTAATTAGTGAGATCTTAGATTGACTATGTCTTTGTACCAGCTGTTGGTGACCGTGATTCGTATGACCTGAGGCAGAATGCATCTGCCCTTTTCCCACCGGAATACTACACGCACTTCCTTCACGAGAAACGCATCGTTGACAAGATTGGCGCTTTAACTAGGTATGCCGAGTGTCCCAACCCGCCATACAACCTATTTGAGAAGACGGGTGATGTAAGTTGGATTCCTTATACATAATTGTAAATAGATCTAATGCAGACTCGCGCTATGTGTAGGATGCCAGGACATGGTTGCCTCAGCTCGCTGCACTAGCAAATTCAGGACTCAAGATTTTGATCTGGGTATGGTTTACAAGCTATCTCTACTACCTTCCCCGAATATTTTCTAATCTACTTCACATTGTCTACAGGCTGGTGACGCAGATATTAAGTTAGTAATATATAATCCAATGCTATCTTTTACTTGCTGATCAACTTGCTTTTTAGCTGTAACTGGTTAGGTGTCAGTCAAGTTGTGAAGAGGTATTAAAACGTAAAACTGACAGTATATTTTCGGCAGGGTCATGCATCAGTTCTCGCTATGGATTGGTATGGCAACGAGACTCTCCATAACACGCCGTTTACAAATATGACACTGGACGGAAAGCCAATAGCAGCCGTCCAGAATGTAGATAACTTTACATTCGCGTAAGCGTTTAATGCGTCAGATCAAAGTCTACTCTAACCTATCTTCATTATCAGACGCGTATACGAGGCTGGACACGAAGTGGTGGGTGATATATTTACTCTTTACTCGAACTTAGCTCACAGGACACACAAAGGCTGCTTTCCAACCCGCAGCTGCCCTAGCTATCTTCACTCAAGTCATTAACAAGGAGCCGTTGCACTCTGTATAGAATGGGTTGGTTGCACCACGCGCTTGCGTTATCTAACAAGTTAGCTTTCTCGATATGATGCTCCAAGTGTACATAACTATAACTGCGCTATCAACGTTGTCGAGACTCCTTACTCTATCTAGTCTATTCCTGGTACCATAGGTTAACAGGTCTGCCTTTCAACAGTTAACACTGGGTTTGGTACTGGCTCTTGCTGGTGGATACACAGGCAATGGTCCCAACAGTCCCAAAGATTGATCTGGCTCAGCAGGGAGGTCTGTATCATGATAGGCAGGTGATTCCACAGTAGACCGCATGCGAAGATATGCATGATCGATCCATCAGGTTTTACCTCCACATAGAATCATCACGCTCGTCATTAAAGATGTGTTTGTTTTTAGATCCCTTATGAGACTTGAGAGAGATAAGCTGAGTGTGGAAGCTGATGGTAGTATTAACGCATAATCCAAACGTATATGAAGCAGTAAGGGAATGTGGAGGTGAATTAGCTAAATGATGCTGGTAGCACAATGTCTTGAATGTGCTAAAGCGTCCACTCCCGATACCCAATAATTTCCTTGCTCCTTCTATCGACAACTTGTTGTACTGCTTCCCCCCAGACATTCACTGGACTCCGAGGGTGCCGAATATCAATGTCACCTTCCTGGGATACCCCAGTCATGCCATAACACTCTCGTGCATGTTTTTCTGCTTCTGCGAATTCGAATACCACGCAATTCTCAAGAGTGAGTGGCTCCGCAGGATCCCAGCGCATAAGAGTCGGCCGTGAAGGCACAGGATGAGGAGGAACAACAGAGCGACCGCGATGGAGGTCCTCGAATATCAGCGCAACGTCATCGTCGTCAATTGGAAGTTTGCTGTGCATATCAATATAAGTCATTAGGAAATACAATGTAAACAGAGTGTAGAGTTCACTTAATGATTTGACCTGTCAACTTTGATTCACGGTGCAAGAGGTCTCTTAGAAGTCTTTCATAGAGCTTCCTACGATTTTTTATGGGTAAGGGATTCAGGATAGGCTTCTTGGCCATTTCGCATAGAATATAAGTCGATATGTGTAGGCCGAAAATAGAGGGGAGAGGTCCTATCAGTGACATACTCAGTCTCAACACTGATCAAACCGAAATATATGCAAACTACAAACTCGCTTACCTAGGACAGGTAGTATCCTAACACGGAAGTCGTCAAAAACTCCAAGTTCTTTCACTGGACCTTTTTGAAATTCTTCCTCCGGTAAAGGCAGCAATTTGACGTCTCCTGGAACTTCCGTCGAGTAAACAACAGGTATGCCAGAAGATATCCCTTGCAGACGTAGACGTCGCCGGACTGAGCGGGCTAATGGATCGTAAATCGTATAAGAGATGTCACTGATCTGTATACGAGTCGGATCGCATTTGGCACTTGCCCCCATTGATGAAAACACCTATAATACACGATGTTCAGTCAAATATTTACGGTGGATGATTGGTTACGGTTCAACTTTCGAGCCCGGCCAATGTCCGGCATAATATTTTTCAAAATCCGATGTACCTTCAGCTATTATATTTGTATTTAGCAAAATTCGAGCAAGGCCTTTGATGGGCGATCAACGAAGATACATTTTAATTAATTTCTTTGATCCAGCGAGTGTGATTTGGGCAAAAGCCAGTGTGATGAGAGATCGAGCGAGCGTGCAATTCAATATGTCAACATAGGATTTCAAGCGTCCAAATACATCAAGAAATTACAAGTATTACACATATACTGACAACCCCTCTCCTCAAGGTAAGATCTCCACCTCACCCGCTTCGATTGTGTTCTGCATGGCTGTGATACCGGCGGAAATAGAAGGACAGCGAGTAAAAACGGCGCGGCTGACAGCGATAACGAGAGGAGAGGTAGACTGCCTGAGAAAATAGAGATGAGACAGTTTCGAAGTCGACGAGTCAAAGGTCACTTACCACGCAGCAAAGATACCAATTCTACGTCCTCTGGTGACCAAATAGAAGGGACCAGCTGTCCCAGCATCAGGAACCTCATAAACCTGGCCGAGGTATGTGCGAGTGATAGCCTGTGAGGCATTTGGCACATTACCTCCAGGTGGAGCGGCAGGGGTAGCGAGCGAGCCAAGTGCTGTGGTGAAAAGAGGAGAGCTGGTGGTGATCGGAGAAACTGTCGCATAAGCACTGGCACCCAAAGCAGGAGTAAGCGGAGAAGAGGCGGCACCCAAAGCAGGAGTGCGTGAAGAAGCAGCAGCTGAAGGACCAGATACCACAGTAGAGCTGGCGGCAAGCGACCCTTGAACTATTGAGGAAGATGGGGAAGAGCTGGTGTATATGGGACTTGATGGAGTTGAAGGGCGGGCACTGCCAAGAACAGCGGACATCATGAGCATAGCGTTGCTCCTACTCAAGGTTACGGATGAGAGGAGAGAAAGGAGGATGTCTGGAGGTACACGTAAGTTAGTGCAATAATCAGAAACATGAGAAGGCCTTACTCATAGTTTCTTCCTCGTCGCTGAGGCAATCTTCACTCACGGAGCGTTCAGGCTGCTTGGAAGAGTTTGAACGACCAGGGGGAGGAGATTGAGTCATTGCAATTTGGAAGGAGGAGGTAAGTATGTCTGGATGATAATTGTGAACTCACCCGTACCTTTTATAGCTGTTTGCTTGAGGCAGCATAGACTTACAGCCCATAGTTGACAATTATTGAGATCTACAAACACGGCAGTCTGACAGAGTTGCAGAATTTTCATGCGTGAGAACAATAGCTAAGGTCCAACAAATCAACATCACGTGTGTACTTCACGATCTCGGAATAATCAGCTGTTCAGACAGCACTGTAAATCTTTTCATGCAATTCTGGCGACACATTCTTGAAGAGCTTCGCGTCAACCACATGCTCACGCCAATACAGTAATGCACAGTCAGTTCCAGCTCTTTCTTGTGGTCATATGTCTCATATTAGCCCGCACTAACCAAATGATTCAACGCAAAGCCAAAACAATGGTCTCCGCCGACGCACAATGGAATCCCATTGTACTCACATGCTTGGAGGATCAAGGAGATCTCAAAGAGACTGGAAGGTACAATTCCCATATTAAATTACAAATAAACTCGGTGTGAGTTGCTCCTTACAGCATCTGCACAGTTGTGCATTCCAGAACTCAAGTTCTCGGGCCCAAAGCATGATTCCATAGAAACATTCATTGTTGTATTTAGCTATTCTATGTACAATACAATGATTTGATATCCAAAGTGCATTTCAAGAAAACAAGAAAGACCAGAACACATACTAAAAGGCCTAAGCTAATCCGAGTCGTCTGTCCACTCATACTCAAAATCTGTATCAGCTTCGTCAGATGAGTAGCCCCCGGTGTTCTGTGGTGCATCTCCTACAACGCGCCTCCGTTGCCGGTGGGGTGGAAGCTCCATGACTGGCATGAATTCGGACTCATCCTCCTCATTAGAGTTCACTGAAAGGGCCATCACAGTACGCAACTCCATGTTGTTTGGCTGATCTCGGAACTGCTGGAGTAAGTGTAAATAGATGTCCCATATGTTTTCTCGGCCAACTTGAGGGTAGTTGGCAGCATCCCAGAATGTGCGTGCCTGTAACGAAAAGGCCGGCGGGACCAGATGAAAACAGGGTGATCGGGTGGTGCATACTTGTCTCGCCACTTCCTGTTAGATACGGCGGATGCACTTAACCTGTAGATGTATGTATTATAAGTATATGACAAAGTGGAAATGATACTATGAACTTACAGCAAAATTGCGTGACTCAAAAAGCTCCGGGTTCTTGAAGATATCTACAGGGCGTCCATGAGGTAGTAACTTGTGTGAGTTTCGTCGGGGCTTTGAACCGTTGAACCTCTCAATGAAGCAGTTGAGTTCTTGCTGTATCCAGGGGATAAATACATAGTGGAAGACTAGTCTACAGGTTTGTGTCAGTTGTGGCCGCTTTGCTTAGGTAAATGGATATACGCAACCGTTGAAGAGCATCGTCAGCATCATAAAGGCCCTCGTTGACCCCCCAGTCAAGGAGAGCCTCAAATCCCGGCGCCCAACGTCTTCGAAATTGGCCCCAAAAGATCTCAGGCTTAATGTTCCGGTGAGATCCTTTGAACGTATGTTGCAGGGTCTTGTCTAAAGCCGGGTCTTGCATATGACGAAGTAATGTATGGCCGTTTGCGATACCATTGTTTTCAGTGCCGGGGTCACTTTGTGTGATTAGAGGCATCCCTAGTATAAGTCAGCAATTGGCAGCCAAGCAGTTGAAACACCGGAGAAAGAGACTCACCACCCAATCTCTCCACGACATCACAATACCATCCACATATCAGACGCGGATTATGGTTAGTCCACCAGACTTTGAGCCAGAGTACATAGCCGGAGAAGGGCTCGAGTCCAACGTGAAAAAAAAGCTGAAAGCGTCTCCACTTATCATGCTGGTCAAAACACCACAGTTCATTGACACCTGCTGTCCAGAAATAACTACGCTTCAGCCGGCGTTTTCGACGTCCTTTTACTTCGTCTGGATGGTGTAGATTCATGTAGTCTAGTATTACCTGCCTAGTATACTAACGTCCTTGTGACTGCCACTGTGTGAAAAGTGAAACAACTTACCGAGGCACCATCACCCTTTCCTCTTGTCGCAAAGTCACTCTCATATCGTGTGACCCCTGGTGAGGGAACCGCTCACGAACACGTTCAATGGTAGGCCCCACACTATCAACTGAGTGTGCCTGGCCCCGAGCACTCTTCAAGCCCCAAACCATCCGTTTTTTCTTCAGTAAAGCGAGACTATAGTTAATCAAATGTGTCAGTGTATTGTAGTATTACAGCTAGAAGGCTTACGAAAATGAGTAGCGGTCCGTGTCATAGTAGTCCTTGAGTTTAGTGACAATTTCTGGATTTGTGTATCCATCTGCGACGAATTGTTCCACCAATGGTCGGATTAAAATGTCTGGAGCTGTGAGAAAAGGACAGAAAGTGAGCATTACACCCTTGGAGTGTCGTTTATGCAAGCCTACCAGGGGATACCTTATACCCATTGGTACCTTGAGGGTTAGGCATGGCCTGCAGGGCGTTGACAGTCCTGGATAGCGTTAGCACTTGGCTGATGCACGTGGGGCACTGCAATTTGAACACTCACCTATAGGATGCACAGTCCAATAGTACACTTCCTATTTGATCCACAGCCTGTTCAGTGTAAGCAGTGGAGTCAGTTCTTCAAGTGATCCTATGGGCAGAAAGGATATGGAAGATCCGCTCAATAGACACTTGGATACGCACTTCAGACAAAACCGTAAGGCTAATCAGATCGTGTTTGCACGCAATTCATTTAACCGGTGCCTGCCTCTTCCTCATTTGTTTTCACTGACATTATCTCCGCAAAGATCTCCCATCTCCTCATGTCAATTTGCAATCACCAGCTTTGACATATCCATATTGATCCTTGTCCGCGTGTTGTTCGAGGATGGCCCATTGGTGAGTCGCCAGCCACTCAGATTGGCAAAGTCCTCATTGTTATCTTTGTGCCGAGGAGTTCTCAAATTTGACTCGACTCGACCCAAATCCATTCGGACTACAACTCATCTTCAAGGATCCATATAAACTACACCAGGAATGGGGGGAGAACAGTAAGTAAATTAGCCGCCATGGACTTCACACCCACTATCGAAGGCCCACCAACTAAAAGTTGTCATCGTTGTCGTACAGAATTTGATAAGTCTGTCCGGTTCTTGTATATCAAGGGTAGGGATGGGACCGGTCGCCACTGCTGTTCAGATTGCGTCGAGCATTATCAGCGCAAGCGTGCGGAAACTGGAGAACGTCATGGTCATAGTACCAGTGCAATATCTGGTGAAATTGTCGGTATGTCTGATTGTCTTCTGTAATTCAATGTATATGTTAAGGATCAAATCTAGATTTCACGAAAGTGGCTTCCCGGGCACATGGTGTTGATGCCGACTCGCGCCAGGCTCTTGTCAAGGCTTCTTCGGCCGCACAACGTGGCGGTGAGTAAAATTTCCAGCTCACCTGTGCGTGTTCAAGTTACTTACCAAACACACATTATGAAATCCCAGAACAGTCATTCCCTAGGCAGCATATTGGGGTGGGACATGCTACATCTAGCGTTATGCCTCCCCCTCTTATCCCCTCGTCTGCTAGTGTCAGTGCTGATAGCGTCTCCCAAGCCATAGGATATACTCAGAACCATGCATTCCACGCCCACCACCGCACGAAAATGCTAGCATCAACAGTAGCTCCTCAACGTCAAGTCACAATCCGGATAGCTCTCCATCATGTGAAGGACGAAGGAAAATCTGGAACAGAGCTGGTTGGGGTGAGTCTTTGGGTACTTCAATATTTCAAGGATACTCACATGTACTATTATTTGAGAATATTGAACGAGACATTACAGTACCGCTCTCTATTAAATGTGGCCAACTACGCAACATAGTGATTGAACACCTGAAGCGTTTGTGGGTGGTCTGGTCTTGTGACCATCAGCTGGCACTCGAGTCTTTACAGATGCTGAAGGCTCCATTACTCCTCATTTACGACCCCGAAGAGCCTCATCAATACTCTGAGCGGCTGGTCCTTCACGATTTTTTCTTCCGCACATCAGCAAAGGACAACATGCCCAAGTTTTCACCAAACGTGAAAGTTCCCATCATTCTCTTGATGTCAAAGGAGGAATTTGAAGATGTCTTGCTATGGAAGGAAGAAGATAGGCATGCCAAAGCACGCTCACGCAATGAAGAGGTTCAGAGCCCCGGAATATCGTCAGACGATGATGATATTGGTGGTCCGATGGACAAGGTTATACATTTTACTTACTTTTACTGCGCTATACTTACAGCAACTGGCCTTACTAGATATTCCTTGCAGCAACACGTGGTGGGAAACGAGCTAGAAAGACTCGTGTGCGAAAGGCGCCAGGCCAATCTTCCATCCCCGCACGTGAGTCGGTATCTGTGCGTTCAAAAGCACCAGTGTCAGAGGAGGTATGCCAATGGCCCTCACATTATTGGAGACGATACTTACCACATGTAGGGTGAATATGACAGTCGTAGTAACAATACACGCAGCACAGCATCAATGTCAAGCCTATTCCACAGCAAACACTCCATCAAGACGTCTGAACTACGCCCCCTCACTCCCTCAAGCTCTAGCAGCCAATCACTGCCCTCAAGACTTTTCTCCAAGGCTGCTACTAATCCCAATATCCCGCCATTCAGCATGCCTGACAAGGCAGTTCTTGAGCGTGTCATGAAGGCACAAGGAGATGTTCGACGCCTAGCAAAGCCGATATGTAAGTCAACCTATATTTCTATCTAAAACATCTATTAACGTGCTAGTGAAGTAAATACGGACATAGGAATCTATGTCCTGTTCCTCGTCCCTTCGATCCCATTCACTGAGCTTCTAAAGAAGCGGGTCCCTTTCGATGTCATGAGCAAGGTCAATCGCCCTCTAGTCACTTTAACAGTTGACTGCAGCTCAAAAGCAATGCTGGGGCCAGCCGGTAGCTTCAAGACATGCCACCCAGCGTCATATGATCTAACTGAAGCTCTGCCAGCAGAGGAAAATATTCTACAGGTAGAGGCTATAGTAGCAAAACGTTGCTTTTACAGAGAAACAGTACAGGGAGCCGAAAAGAGTGGTACACCATCAAGTCCTTCAGGCGGGCGCAAACGACTGGCCATCAAGGATGAGCTAATGAAGATGCTCGACGAGGCTAACTGCCTTTACTGGGCAACAAGCCTGTTGGCTTTAGTTTATAACTTCGTCGACGACAAGCTTATTCGAAGGCCCCTTGACTGTCCTCCCCCGGCAATCCCCCGACTTCGAGTCGTCCACGCCGCTTTGGCCATCCCCCAAGACAGCAGAGAGTTGCGTAATGCCGTTTATCTTCTCGAGGAGAAGATAAACGGTAACTTCGTGAAGTATATCAATAACAATAGTGCAGCTCCTCGGCACAAACTTGCTCCGCCTGAACTGGAGATTGCAACCTTCCTATGCTTCGCACAACACACTCAATATCATTTCTCGCAAGGCCTTGTGTTCATCTCAGATTTTCAAGGTAAGTTAATATAAGCTAGTCTCTTTTGCTTTCCTTTTCGTACTTACATTTGACTTGTCAGGGTCCGGTGGAATATTGACTGACTGCCAGGTTATCACTACCAAGTAAGGCTCTATTACCTCCATGTGGTTGGTTCTCATCCTTTCCCAGAGACTTTGCCGATAATTTTGGCGAAGGAAACTGGACGGCGACGTTAGACAACTTCCCCTTGTTGCACAAATGCAACCAGTATTGTGTATATTTCGGACTCCCTTCCTTGCAGACAGCAGTATGTTTTCTTTTTCTGATGGATCCTTTCTACTACATCTCATGTCACCTCTTTTTTCACAGAGTTCGGCTACAAAGATGAGAACATCACAAGAGATTGACATCATGTCCAGTCGTGTTCGTGGCTGAGAGGGATTTTTTTTTACATGACATGTACTTACTGTATCGCTTGAAATCCTATGTTGACATGTTGAATTGCACGCTCGCTCGATCTCTCATCACACTGGCTTTTGCCCAAATCACACTCGCTGGATCAAAGAAATTAATTAAAATGTATTTTCGTTGATCGCCCATCAAAGGCCTTGCTCGAATTTTGCTAAATACAAATATAATAGCTGAAGGTACATCGGATTTTGAAAAATATTATGCCGGACATTGGCCGGGCTCGAAAGTTGAGCCGTAACCAATCATCCACCGTAAATATTAGTGACACGAATTCTACAAAGTCATACTTTGATGCCATGGTCGTGACAGTACTTGAGCAGATCTACTTTGGTGGTTATATTGTCAATCGCGTCTGAATGAAGATCAAGATCATCTGTGTTGACTCTCGAGCACGTTATTAAAATGGGATAACTTACCGACAACCCAATCGGCACCCTCTAATAATCGACCACCATCCTCTTTTCTCCAGATATCTATTCGGCAGTCCACTTCAGCCCAGCGTGCAATATCCTTCAAAGTTCGTTCCATGGATGCCACCTTCGGTGTCCCTACATCAGAAAGCCCTGCAGTAGCATGGCGGTTCAGCGACGATAGCGTCACATAATCAAAGTCAACGAGTCGTATTTTTGACACTCCACTGGGATGGAACTCTAATTAAAAGTTGGAGACGAGGATCTTGGTAACGCACGATCTAACGAGCATGACAGCAACCCAACTACCAACGCCTCCGCAACCCACGATGACCACTGTGCCAGCCCGAATATGAGTCATGCCTTCCTCGCCAAAGAACGCGTAATTTCTCGCCAACTGCTCTCTGATGAGCTCCTCGTCATATCCAGCACTCCTTATGTGGGCGACTTCCGCGAAATCAACAGATTTCTCGACGGCGCCTTGTTCTCGTTTATCATCGTTGTGCGCCGCTATAGATTTAATGACCTCCTCATTAAGAGCCTTCCGTTTTGCTCGCCTGGTATAAGAGTTATAGGTGATGAATATACCAGATGTAACCAGAGATGCTGTTAAAGCAGCTGCAACAATATGCGTGCGGTGAGAATAGGTAGATAGAACGTTCATAGCTAAGCTGTGGTCTGGCCACCCAAACTTGGATGCGCTCCAGCCACAACCCGCGGCTAGACATGGAAGGATAGCAGACAAGCCGGTAGGGTGGTGATTCATGCAATATCCATGCACAAACATCATAATTTCGTCCGTTTCGGTTGGCAAAAAGGACTACAATATTGCACTGTCAAATGTCTTACTTGTGCCAAACTTCACTTTAGCACTCGTCTCTGTCCACAAATTGTCCAAAACAGGGTTATCAACACTTTTTCCAGCAGGGTCAAACACTTGTGAAGTTCGGAAAAAGGAGGAACTTATCCTCACTGCCTTACACAAGCGAGGACTTTATCACATCCAAGCAAAACCCAAAATCAACCCAGAGTCAGCTTTTGCAGCAGTAGATGTAAATTTATTGCACAGGAGAATGGGACACATTGGAATGGACCGCTTGCAACGAATGGTTACAAAAGGACAGCTCCAGGACATAGACACCCTTACCGGAACCCCGGAGTTTTGTGAACCTTGCGCTTTAGGAAAGATGAAGAAATTACCTTTCAAGTCCACTGGAGGAAACCAAGCCAAGTGCCCCATACAAATTGTGCACACGGATGTTGGAGGACCAATCAAACCAACTTCCAGGGAGGGTTTTCGGTACTGGATTATCATTGTAGATGATTTCTCCAAATTTCCATGGATATATTTCCTAAAACATAAAAGTGAGGCACTGGAACGATACAAGCAATGGAAATAAGATGTCCAAACATTCTTCCGGACTCATTTGGGAGAAGAAAACTTCACTCCACTGTACACAAAATTCCTCCGGAACAATGGGAGAGGAGAATATACTGGCAATGCATTCAAAAATCAACTCTGAGGAGATGGTGTCATCCAAGAAACTACAGCTGCAGATACTCTGGAACAAAATGGCATTGCAGAACGCATGAATCAGACATTGGCTATATTAGCAACCACTATGCTCCATGATTCCAAGCTCCCAAAGTCATTTTGGGTAGATGCCATGCAAACAGCTGCATATATTACAGCACGCAGCCCAGCATCAGGACTCCATGGAAAGACCCCATATGAAATACTGTTTAAAAGGAGAAGTTTTACTCCAAGGGGCGCAAAGCCATAATAATTGGCTACACACATGGAAAGCAAGCCTACAAACTCCTAGACACTGAAAAACGAACTGTGTTTTCCTGTCGGCATGTCATATTCAATGAATCCGGAAAGGTACAAAGGACGACACTGCTCCCTGGAACACAGACACTAGCACAGATCAGTGGGAGGGACTCATTCCAGAGAATGCTCACAGTCATTATACTGTAGTGAGTAGCACCTCCGACTATAAGTAGTAGGGGGTTTAGTATAGGAATACCTCAGTCGTTTCTATAGCCTCTCGGGCAGCAGCTGAGTTTCACTAAGATTTCTTAAGAAGTACCATACAAGCCACCAGTTGTGACAACACCGACAAGACACAGTCTTGGGGCACTGGAGCTAGTGGACTTATTGATAAACATTAGATCAGATCAAAAGGACCATGTTAAAACACAGATTAGAGAATATGGCTTAAAGTTAACACTTCATTATTCAATCACCATCCTAAATTTAACAAGACTGATAAAAGCAGTCAAAGAGAAAAAGAAGTTCACACTGGTTAAATAGTACATGTAGATTATGGAGCTGTACAGTTTATAATTGCAAGTTACCGTGCATATCGCGATATACAGAGCTGCACTTTTCTGTCCGACAGAACCCTCCCTTGCTTCGGAAGAGTCGGGGATGGTACTACACATTTTGGGGTCAGGGACTACTTTTTGGAAGTCCCTTGGTATACAGTACATTCATATGTTGAGAATTTATAGATAATGGCAAAGGCACTAGACTTATAGGCTAATAATTCGTGTTCCAAATTCTGCCACCGAATGAGAAAAGTTAACCCCAGGGCAACTCATGAACATCAGAGACTGGGGGATTTTGAGGTGATGGGCAAGAGCTGCAACTGTTGAAGGATCAAACGGACTTTCAACAAGCATCTACACGAGCAATAGGCTTAACAAAGGACACCGCGGCAATAATGAAGGAAACGGCTACGAACCAAGTCAATGGTAATTTCTGGGAAAGCTTCGTCGAGGACTATAGGTAGCTGTCAGCACATTTTTCTTTGGAAGATGATAGGGATTTTGTTTACTTTTAGAATTAGCTTCTAGTTCTGAGGGTATATTCTCCTTCTCGTTGTAAAAGTGTACAATTTTCAAACAAGAAGTCTCTTCGTTTTGACAAACATAGAGGACCATTTGGAATAAATAATTTATCTGTGTTTCTGCCCAGTTAGAGAAGCTTATCTGCAATATCCATAAGGTGCAGCACGGACCTCATCAGTTTTCGCCAGGATGCAAACAGGTTGGCGCCGTAGATGGATCATATATTTGATAAGGCTATTGCTCCACTGTCGAATCCAGCGGCTTTTGTGGAGAATGGGATGTTGATCATATGCCCAATAGGTCCAGTGGAGAAGTCGTGTCTTGTTTTGAGTCGCAAGTAGGATAGAAATGATAGCTACAAAATATGCAGCAGAGTAACTATATATAATACGCCTATCAATAAATCATACAGCTCAACACCGAGAAAGTAACGTACCCGGCAATTAAAGGATCAATGGCTATGTTTCCTCCTATAACGGTGATGGCGACCGCAAAGGTAGTCAAAATCAAAGCGAGTGATGTTTTCGATGAACGCGGTATTCTGCCTCGATTAAACTGTAGTAGAATCAAGGACAAAGGAAACAACGTCATCACGGTAAGCCAGACGAGAGAAAACCTGGCATATATAAAAACCCGCAAGTCAATAGGCAAAAATAAGGGGAAAACTTACATCTTGGATATAATAGAAAGCTGGGCACCCGTACTAGCGTACATAATAGCACTGAAACCGGAAAACAAGAGCACGGCAAGGTAAGGCGAATGAGTGAACGGCATCGTTTTTAAGAACATCTGTGGAAGGACTCGATCTCGCGAGAGCTGTTCGAGAAGTTCAGAGGCACTCAGAATGCCTGTCATTGAGCTCAATACGGTGTATGCATGAGATTAGAGCTGATTTATACCTGTCAGCACTCCACCACAGAGGACCACAACGGCATCCACCACAACCCAGATACGTAACCAGCGTCCCAAAACCTGATGCGCGTGAGTCAGTAAGATGTGGGATCAGGAGGTGAAACTGGTCCAAACCGTTTGCGCAAGGATGCTGAGTACATTCGTCCCGTTCAATATAACGTCTAGAGGTACGAGGGCCAAAACTAAAAGCATTGTCCCGGCATTGAGAATTATGCTAGATATATGCAAATTACGGAGCACATATGGATAACGCCCGGGTCGAATTTTGGCAATGTACGCAGGCGCACCTACGAGAAAGAAGTGATGAGCAAACCTCAATATATATACTCTACTTCCAATCGTACATTCGAACCCTGTTAAACCTAACATGCCAATGCATATTCCATTAAAGATATCACGTGCGATGGCGCTAGAAGAGGGGGCCTGTCCGGAAGCCCAATTCTCCTTTAGAAGTGAACTTCCAACCCGTCCCCATTGAACTGCTGATGCAATCAGAAGTACTGCCATTGTCACGAGCTACGAAACACTCGATGAGAGCATACACATAGCAAAAAAAAGGAAAAAGACCTTACATGAAGGGCTAACACTCCAAATGCAATGCGTGAACTTTCCTTCATACCACAAAGGCCGATTATGGTAAATAAGACTAGAAGCAGAATTGCCCCAGCAGACGTTGGAAAGGGAAGAGTGACTTCTCCGGCCAGATAAGAAGCGGCGGTAGCTGCTGATACTACCGAGGTAGATGCAAAATCCAATATTAAGAGAGCAGCAGCTACCAAGGCCAGTGACTTCGTAGAAGCATTGATTCTGAAATACTAGCGTCAAGGAGTGGATATAAATTGAAATTACTTTAAGACACACAGGTAAGTATATGGCGCCCCACTAGCAGGCAATGCGGATCCTAGTTCTTCCATAATCGGGCGCCAGAGGAATGGAATCAGGGTAGCGATAAACAAAGAAATAGGAGAACAGTATGCACACTAAGATAAGCTAACGCGACATGCTCCAAAAATAAAAACTCACTAGACACTCGAGACAGTTACGATTGCCGGGAGTGTATAAAAAATTCCACCAAGAATGTCATTACCGGCCAAGGCACTGGCAGTGAACTGACCCAGAATTGCCTGTCGACGGAACTGCTGAAGAGTTTCGTCTCCTTGTGCACGGTCTTCGGTGGACAGCGTGATATGAGAAATGGAACCCCAGCCAGAAAACAGGAATTGGTTGGAAAGATTCAAAAACCTTGAAGGAATTCCCGTCAATTTTATTCCTCCGCCGCCTCTCGGCCTCCTTCTTTGACGTCGAACAATATCATCGAACTGTGATTCTACAAACGAAGGAGGGTCCGACGCCTCCACCTGCGAAATAACCCTTGACTGGCCTGGAGAGGCAGCTCAAGACAAAACCTAAAAGCAAGTCACAGAGCAAACAGCGCACCTTCAGGATCATGATGTTCCCGGAAAGCACCAGCGTTGCGTGGGGTTCCAATGGTAATCCACGGTGTGTTCGTGTTGTTCAAAGCCTCAGCCATTCCTGAAATACAAGGTAATCAAGAGCAGAAACGTCTTGTGGGATGCGAGAAATTCTTGAAGTAGAAATAGGTCCTCTTTCCCGGCGATTTCCTGAAATTTTCTGTAGCAGGCAACCAGATGTACACAGGAACATGTGCAAGAAGCTCAAATCCCCGTGCAGCTCGAAAGAGTAGACCGATTGTAAAACAAAGGTTCTTCGTCACGGACAAAGGCTGAATTGATTTGTTCCTCCGCCTGCTGAACGTGGCTATGAAATATTCCGAGGCCTGAGACATACCACCTTTTGGAACAGAATCTCCTATATTTGACGTGTTACAACTCTCAGAGAGTTGGATATCATTGGGTTCCCGTTGGTTTATCATATAATGAAGCATTATGATGGCGCGCACAGTTGCGAATTTGAACTTCAAACGTCCGCACTTGTGGTGAGATTAATTTATGTTAATAGTAGCTATACGGAACTATGCGGCTATATGTATACTATTTCCGGACGTCGACGGTCTCCAAGCCCTGCTGCCAAGTTGGGGCGTGTCAGTAAACGCAGTCTCCCCTTTCAAAGCAAATATTCACCGGTCATACAGAAGCTTTTCAAAACTGTCATATCACCATGGCATATGTCTCTGTAGAATCCGACGATGTACGTAGCTTACATTCTTCAGTTTCTTGCCTTCACTTCAGCCATCTATAGCGATTGGAAGAGGGTCCTGAAGGACTGGAATTCAAATGTGAGCGCGATACTACAATGTATCAGTGACGCTTGATCTTAATTCGCTTTGATGATTCCTCAGCTTTCCTCGGGGCAGATGCAGGAAGTGATGGCAGGACTCGTTCGGCGTCATCAAATTTGAACCGAGGTAGGTAAAGCAAGTAACGGTTAACTCCTGCTTGATGCACGCCTCTACCGCAGGTTATTTGAGCGATCAGACTCAGAGCAAAGGCCCGTCTGGCTTCTGGACTATCGATTATTACCAAACATACTTTGACATCGATACCTCCGCCGTAAGTCTACATTGTCTTTTGTCCCAACGTGTACTCATTTCATGACCACAGGTCTTGAAACGGTGCTATTCCACACTCCTCCCAACTTCCAAAAATTACCTCTCCGAGCATCTTACTCCTTCTGTTGATCTATACGGTCCATTCTGGACACTTACCACGTTAATTTTCACACTCTATCTCTCGTCTTCCCTTGCGTCCTCCATTTCCGCATACCTTTCTGCTCCAGGCTCAGCATACGACTATGATTTCCAACTCCTGTCCATCGCGGTCACCCTCGTTTACTCGTACGGTATCGGCCTGCCTGTATTACTATGGATTGCGTTGCGCTACTTGGGCGTCGGTGAGTGGAGTGTGGTGGAAGCAGTAGCTGTGTGGGGCTATGGCCAATTTGTTTGGATACCTGTTTCGGTACGTGTAAGAGAAAGTGCATGTTGCTACATTTATTCATGCGCTTATACCGCAGATACTGTGCGTCATCCCTGTTCCAATCGTGCGGTGGATCCTTGTCGGCGTAGCCTTCGCGTTGTCAGGCTACTTCTTGGTGGCAAACGTATACCCAATCTTAGCAACTGTATGCTTCTCTCCTATTTTCGTAGAGTTGTTGCTTACTTCCGATTACAGGCTGAGGCCAAAGCTACACGTTTGATCATTATCGTTGTAGCACTTCTGCATGCTGGGGTAGCTCTCACGTTCAAGATCTTGTTCTTCAGCTACTACGTAGTGGCAGAGATAGGGCCTGGAAAGGACCCCCTAGCTGAGGTACCTACCAACGCTACAACTTTGCTAGCCAAAATGCTTTCATAGTTGATATGCATGTACTCAGCTTACTATGTCATTGCAATTTACAAAGGCATTCTTTTAATGTGAAACACTGCGCACATTTTCGGGAATGAAACACAGATCATAATCATCGTTATTTTAAGCGGATTGTCACTAATGTAATAGGGGAAAGTCATCAGATTCATGATCATACGTTGTCCTGTTTGTTACTGTCTGGCACAGGGTGATCTTTCTCCTTGATTCCGAACTCCACTGCCAACACGGTTTTGTTGAAGTTGCACATCGTCAAACCATACGGTTGCCTGATTCTCGACTCCCATCCGCTAGGAAGGCGCTCCTCGAGCAGCACTGATCTGAGGTCTTCCACCCTACCACCGAATATGGTCAAAAGAGTTGACGAGCTAGCCATAACTGATCAGCATTGCGCCCACTTTAATGAAATTTACCACCCGGCTGCGGATGCTTACTTGGAGCTGCCAAACATCTTATGAAATAAGCTTAATGTGTAGTCGGGGTTATTGGCTCGTGCTTCAACGCGGCGCTTTCCGGATATTCTTGACAAGTCCTTAGAAGTTAGAAGTTGATGCCCATCGGCAGCCTTTCCTGATGCCGAACCCAGCAATTCCTCAACAAATGGAGCGTGGATTACGGACTGATTTGGGTTCGCGGCAGTGTCGACACCTAAAGAGAAGAGTTTAAATTTGCTATCAGATAAGTAGAAGCGAAGAAGTGCGCACGAGTGAGAGAGGCGTCGTGTTCAATTCCATTGTGTAGATCGAGTTCCTCGAGGTCAAACGTGTCTGTACGATAGCTCTTGTTCAACATGTTTGCAGCGAAGTTGGGTACGAATAGGCAGAAGGTAGGTGCGAAATTATATGTGGTACGGATTTTCGCATTCATTTCTTTGAATGTGATTCCACGGCCATTGCGAGGAAGAATGCCTGGAGCAGGGGATAAGCAAAAATGGAACTTATTTTTTATTATTTTTTTTCAAGTGACGTACCGTGGTTGGCCATTGCATTGAGAGCAGGGCATGAGCATCTGCTGTCGCCCTCTTGTGCGGGCTTGTACTCGGGCCAGTACCCATGATATCCTGGGTGACTTTCTGGGGTGACATGACCCACTGCCCTCTTTGGCAGAACCAGGTTCAAGAGGGTAATGATGATATCCCAAACGAAGATCCCAGCGTTGAGAAATGCGTTCGCAATCTTGAAGAGGATCCTTGACACGAACGACATGGTTGATGGGGTGGGAGAGACCAACCTGGGATTCGGGGCTGGCTGATATATGGAGGGGAGGCGAATAAGAGGGACATGACTGCATCATGAGTTGCAACTTCTCCGAGTTCTTTTCGGAAGTTTTTTGTCTGTCAAGGGAAGCGATTGGTTCAATGAAGCGCGGACTCGGAACACCCCGTCAATTCACTGTGACGCCATCCATTCCCTAATCTGACAACATTTTGACTTGGTCTTTAATCATAGAAGCAAGCACAGCCAATATGGCTATATCGTGGTCCTTGTCTTGAGGTGCGTGAGGTCTCATGCATGTCTCATGGGGTGCATTGGGGATCTAGCGAGGTTGGTCCATTATTCGGCTTGAGTGGGATAAAGAAGCCCTTCAAGTTCTCATAGCGCTCGTATTTCGACGCCAACAAGGATAACGTTGGTCTATACATGATTCAGCACATTGGGAAAATTGCTGATGCAGTGTCACAGGCTCGGGCCGTATATCGTAGCCGCAAGTACCACGACCATATCAGCTTCCGCTTTTTGATGATTGCATCCGGCGCCTTTTACTCTGTCAGATCAATCCCTTGTATGGTCTGTACATTTCCGTACACTCAATAGTGCCCAAAGCATTTCAATGTCCCACATCGTCGCTCAACGTCCGAGTCTACCCAATAAGGTTAATCTTCCACATTGGAACTATAAAGAACAAGCGGAAGGAACGATTATCTTTCGTCGATCTGGTCTGACTGTGGGAGACTAAGAACGACTCAGTCACCGTGACAGTAAGCAGGATTCCATTGTGGTGAAAGAAGAGACCCACTGTGGGTTTACACTATTGTCACTTGCATGTCCATATCTTAATGCATCTCTCACTAAGGCCCTATATGTAAAACCCCTGTGTAGGACAGCTCTTTCTCCCCGTGATATATCGCCAATAACTTCAGTGGCCCGAATATCTCATCAGCCCGGAGTTTAAGGGATAAGTATCAGAGTAAATGCAAGCATTCAGGTCGGCGACATGCCATGATTCTGTTTTTCATCGTCTTTTGGATCTTTCTATGCCACACCCCGAAAAGCCCTCATCAAACGTCTCAAGTAGCAATGATTCACCCCAATGCTGAGGTACCTCAATTGTCTGTCTGGTTGTGATAAATCTCGTATTTCATCTCTTGCCTGATTTCCGGTTTGTGAGTCACGGTACGATATCATTGTCATCCATCTAGTTCACTCCCTGTGTGTTCCTTTTTATTTGTCCCTCTCAGAGCTGTATGTTTGAAGTTATTGCGCCGGCGTGGGCGATATCCGTTCGAGCAATAATCATGGCAACTCATCGCTATTTTTTCACTTGTTAGTGTTTCGTTTGTGCCATTGTTTGAACCTATTCATACCTTTCCCTCAGATTACACAGCAAAATTGAGACAAACATTGCATTTTCTACACTGCTCTCAACTGCTATCATTATCGGTGTTTCATTGTTAGACATATATCAACGTGGTTCGCCCAACGTTTCGTCATACCATTTTAACCCTATAGCTTTTGGTTTTCTCGCCGGTGAAGAGGTCAAAGCTGCTGGCGTTGGTAATGCTGGACTCTACAATCGTATGTCGATTTCGCATTCGGCTCCTTGTAGCGGGCATTTACTGATTCTGAATAATACCACTTTATTTAGAACATTTAGCATTGGAGTGGGTCCAAAGACATATCTCAAGTTTCGGCGGAGACCCCACCAAAGTTCGGCTTCTCTCTTGGTCAGCATAGTTGAACTTATTTATATTCTATTTTATGTCAGACCAATCTTGAGCTCATTGCCTTCAACTTAAGAGTCTGGAACCGCTTCACCTCTCCATGACGTATCATACATTCAGGGGTACGATAAACTAGTTGCTGCAGCAACTTGTACTTCCTCAGATAATACCTTGGACTGCCATCGTTCTGCACGTATGAAACACTCTTGAACGGAGTTTTTGGAAGCACGCTCCTACTTTCATACCAACCTCTGAATACCACTTGGGGACCAACAGTAGGCGGCGTTTTTCCTGAGGAGATCAATTTGACAATCGCTTCCAACTGGAACATATGCCAAGGTAAGTTACCATACCAAGGAGGGTAATCTAGAATCCATTAAGCAGATACCTGTCATTACTGGCGATGTAGACGATGAAGGCACGTAAATTCCCCCCGTATACTACAATCGTTGATACATATCCTTCAAAGGCTTTTCTTCTTGTACAGCTTCAACGTAACGCGAATATATCTCTGTCAACGGAAAAATCATAACTAAATGAATATCACAGAACCGACCAAGTGTTCTTGGATTCTGTATCTTCCAAGTATGCTGTTTCCCTTTCGCAGAAAGCCTGGGTCTTACTTATTCTGTAGCTTCTTGGTCGGCGTTGGACAGGACCAGATTGACAGGGTCGGAGAACTGTACCCGGAAAATCCTATCGTGGAAATGTCACTCCCTCGAGAAGTTCTTCGTAACCTGCGTAACTGGTAGAGTAACGTTTCATCTCAGGGCTCTCCCTTTCTTGTCGGCTCAAGTGGTACAATATGGTAATCAGTTCTCTATCCACCGTCCTCAATACAGACGCATCTCTGCCTTCCAGGGTGACTTCTACTTCCAGGGCCCTTGTCGTCACGCTTTGAGTTTCTTGACAGAAAGTACAAAATTACAGTCAGTCACGCATATGCACTGCATCGTTACCATTCCTTCACACAGCTCTCTGCTACAGTCTGGGGGCGCTACATATACGTTCCTGGAATAGGATCATTGCATGAAATTGATCTTGGTGAATTTTATCAGTCGACTAACGCCTCGGATTACGTTGGAGTTGATGCGCTCAGTAAGTTTGGATGTGTTATCCCTTGATACGTCATTCTGATTCTAATAGTCAACTTTGCATACGATGTTGACCCCAATGTTTCTTCCAACGAGCTTCCTGCGGGTGCGACGATGGGCGTACTTTCTAGATTGAAATGGCCCCAATATACTCCTTCAAGTTCGTCTCAGGGCAATTACTATCATTCTGGGATCTCAGTATTTTCAACATTACTCTGGATGATTATAGGGCCGAGGCGATGGAATACTTGAGTTGCATACAGAGTGAGATGGAACTGTAAGGCAAGTTATAGGAGGTCATAATTATATAAATTGGAAATTAATTGACTCGGTAGCTGATATTGTACTACCTTTCGTATTGCTATGTGCCTTCTTGCAACGCCTCTGGTGAATATTTTTTCGTCCGCTGAATGGTTTGCGCAGGAAATTGGTAGGAACACGGGACCAAACCTACTTTTATCGGGAAACTCCGCGACACTGTCACCTGTGGGCCTTGACCATGTTGCATACTATATACTTCCCAGATTCACACCACTATCTCTACATACGTCTGTGTCTATCTCGTAAGTACTCAGATCGCTTCATGCAAATCTCTAATATGACCACTGTTGTTGTTCATTGGCTCTCAGGCTAGACGTTGTACATGTCGCTGTGAAAAATGCTACAATACCAGTTCAAAATGTGGAGATACCTCATAGTAACACTTACTATTATTAATCAAACCCCAAGGTTCAGTATACATAGGCTTAAAGTTCATATCTGTGCTATTTCTGTACCAAGGAGCATATAAACTTGCAGGGCCATAGTAACAATTCTCAACAAACGAGCTATGGTTGCTGCTCCGAGTCTCTGTCTACTCCCTCCTCCTCCTCAGACCCAAGCTCGCTCAAGCACGACATTCCGACCTCCTCCTTTAGATGGGTCTCTTACGTTCCCGCAAATGTATTCTTGGCATCTCGAACATACACCCGATTACCGTCTGTTCGTCTACGTTCGTGAGGATGGCAGTGTAAAGACTATTTACTGGCCTGAGGCTGTAAAAGCCATTTACACTGCAGCGCATATCATCGGGAATCGCATACAGTGGATTTCGTATACGTCGGAGAGACCTGTAATAGCGATTCTTGCAGCTTCAGGTATATGGCCTTCTCACTTCGTTGAATATTGTCCAGCTGATCTTAAATCACAGATACGATCCCATACTTCATTACGCTTACGAGTATCATGTGCACTAACTACATAGCGTTCCCCATCTCTCCCCGTAATTCAGCCACAGCTATAGCCCACCTCATCAACGCAGTCGGAGTCAAACATATCCTTGTTGGGCGCGAGCAGTCGATGCTTGATCTAATCAGGGATACACTTGAGATATTGAAATCCCAGTACCCGTCTGTCCCAGCGCCTGCGCTGTCTCCGATGCTACTTTTCGAAGACCTTTTCTTATGGACTGAAGCAACTGCCAATGAAGAAATTTCCCTATGAGTCCCAAGGACCTGATGCAATTGTTATGATCTTGCACTCATCAGGTTTGTATACAAGTGGTTGAAACACTTTAAAATGTCCAAGAATCATTTGTTTCTTTCCTTTTCTTTTAACTAGGCTCCACAGCGCATCCTAAGCCAATATTCTGGACTAATCATCGCTTTGCGCAGTTGTCGCTAATTCCGTGGTTCGGAGAGCGTGACCTCACGGATAAAGTATTCTCGCTACATGGTGCCCATGTACCATGGAATGGGGGTGTTCCAGCTGTGTTGGACGGTATGATTATACTTGACACATGACTGCGTCTAGGTTGGGATCTGATGGCATCTTTTCAAGGCATCATGCGGACTTGTCGTGAGTGCTTTCGAGCCCAAATTCCCAACGCCGATGCCAACGCCGGACGGATTGTTCAGGGCTGCCAAGGCTACGGACAGCGATGTCATATTCTGCGTTCTGACTTTCATCGAGGTACAAATATCTTCTATTTAATCTTTTCTCTGATTGCTGATGCGACCCATTTCAAGGTTTGGTCTCGTAGTCCTGAATATGTCAAATGGCTCGCCACTCGCGGAGGAGTGGTACATATCTTAGTTTAAACCCAGCCGAGTTACTGCTGATATAATGTCGAGCAGCTCTTTGGTGGCGGACCTTTGAATCAGGAAGTAGGAGATAGCTTAACGGCAGCAGGAGTCAGCATATTCAACCTTTATGGATCGTAAGTTCATCCTCACGAGTACAGCAGCTTTGCACTAATTATAGTCTGTCAGTACCGAAGGTGGAATCATGAGCACTATGTTACCGGGTTAGCAGTCCTGTTTGAGGAATACATGGTCACTGTAACCTGCTACCCTACAGCTGAGGTCGGCCGCGACTGGAATTATTTCCGCTTTCCAGCTCTTGTTACACCCGAAATGATACCCAACGATGACAACACATTCGAACTTGTTATGGTCGTAAACATTAACATACGATATTTCTGTGCATTGAAGGAGTACTATCGAAATTATAGGCAAACGAGTTTTGTCGGCCAAGTGTACTCAATACCAAAGTCGGTGGGATAGACGCCTACTCAACTTCGGATCTTTTCAAATCGCATCCCACGAAAAGTGGATACTGGAAAGTATATGGCCTCACAGATGACCAAATCATGCATTCTACAGGGGAGAAGGTTAGCTTTACAAACACGTTAATGTGCGTCGATCTAACATTAGTCTGAAGACTAATCCAGGTCCGCTGGGTAAGGTATCACCTCGCGTTACTCCAGTCGGGCATAATTAAATAGATAACATTCAGAGAATATTCTCAATCAAAATCCCCTTGTCCTATCTTCGGTGATTTTTGGTCGTGGACGATTTCAGGTCGGTGTGATTGTGGATCCGAAACCTGACTATCGATTTGATCCAACTGATGAACTTAAACTTTCTGAGTTCAGGAACAAAATCTGGTGAGTGATTATATCTAGCCGATGCGACCACAGGATTTACGAACTCCTCGATCTGTATAGGCCAACAGTTGAGCATATGAACGAATACGCACCTCAACGTTCAAGACTCTTCAAGGAGGCACGTTTATACCACTCTTTTGGTCACGATACTGCTAATTTTATCCCTATATGAAGATGATATTAGTCTCCAAGCTCTCTAAACCGTTTACCTATACCGCAAAGAGCACAGCTCGCAGGCAAGTCATTATCTCCGACTACGATGAAGAGATCAGTGCTCTTTATGATACGGTTGAAGAGAGTGCGCAGACCGCTATCCCTCCACCACCTCAATGGGATATCACCATGACGGTCGTCAAGTTCATCCGGCAGATCGTTATTGCTGTGATGTCCACGGACGTTTCCGACGACGACGACATCTTCCAGCGTGGCTGTGACAGGTACTCACTGCGAATATGATTTAACTAAGAAGAGCTTAACTGTGATCATATACAGTCTCCAAGCGACCTGGATTCGAAATTCTCTTCTGAGAGCTATACGTGACACGACTCAATTCGACGCTCGCAAGTTTGCTGGGAACTTTATGTACAGCTATCCCACTATAGCAACTCTGACCACGTTTATCACCAACTTACTATCTGGAAACGATGATGGCGGCGATATATCCCATGCCCGGATAGTAGACGAAATGCGTACAATGGTATCAAAGTATTCACAAAACTTTCTTGATCACTGTCATAAAGGCCATGAAGCGAGCCACAGTGCTGAAAGGTCTGGGGGATGCATGGTGTTATTAACAGGTTCAACTGGTGCTCTCGGCTGCTACCTCCTCGTTCAACTCATCTCACATCTGGACGTTTCGCGCGTGTATGCTCTCAACAGGAAAAGTCCTAACGGAAAAACTCTGATCCAACGACAAGAAGGGGCGTTACTTGAGGGTGGATTCAATAGCGAAATATTGCAATCAAAGAAAATCATACTATGTGAGGCAGACCTTGCCGCTGACTGTTTTGGGCTTCCTCATGCCTCTTATCAAGAGGTTGGATTAAGCACAGCTTATTGAATATACCACTCACCCCTATTTAGATGCAAGGCTCGGTGACCCATATCATTCACAATGGTAACTATTGTTATGTTAATATTTGTACCCAAGTTTAATATTACCTTCCTTTCAAGCTTGGAGTGTTGACTTCAACCTCACTCTGAAGACGTTCGAGAGTAACATTAAGGGGCTGAGAAATTTAATTGATTTCTCATTGTCGTCAACTCTGTCAAGGCCAGCTCGATTGTTGTACACCAGCTCAATAGGTGTTTTTCAAAGTTCGTGTGTTTTCCATGTTTTTGCCATCGTTATGTTGTTATGCCAGTTCACTAATGTGTCTCACTATGCTGACAGACACGGATGCACATGGTAACAGCGTCCTTGCAGAAAAACCTATCGAGCCCGAAGCTGCTATCGGAACGGGCTATACCGAGTCGAAATGGGTATGCGAGAATATATTATGCGCAGCAGCAGAACATACAGCAATAGAAGTACTTGTAGTGTGAGTGGGGCAGCTATCTGGGGGGTTGAATGGCGCCTGGAATGTGAATGAATGGGTGCCTGCACTCATTCAGAGCGGTAGTATACTGGGGCTCTTACCCGACGATCACAAAGTAAGTCTATGTAACCCAATTATTACTATCCAAGTCTTGAGGATGGTCATGTGTAGCCAGTGTCGTGGATTTCACTCGATATTGCAGCTTCGTCGCTTGTGGAATTTTGCATGTCTCTGAATTTGCCTCCAGACCATATCGTTCACCTAGTTCACCCGCACCCTGTTCATCGGTCCTCTCTGGCTAGTGTCGTATCATCAGAATATTCTGTGTCACTCGTATCCTATGCTGAATGGCTGGCGGCGCTTGAGCAAAAAGCCGTCATACTATCGGAGAACGTAGACAATAAGCAAATTCCTGCCGAAGCCGGACTCCCAACACACCTACGTGTTCAGCGATTGCTTCCCTTATTCAGGCGACTTGCTGCGAAGGAAACCAGCTCAGAAGCAATGGGTTTTGACTCACTGGATATTGCAGAAGCGGTTGCTTTATCACCAACATTGGCAGACCCTGTGCTTCCTCAGCTAGGTTCTGAAGATGTTAAAGGTTGGCTCGCGTACTGGCGTAAGAAAGGCTTACTGCCAGCATCTTTTTCATAGTATGCTTGAATTTCGAGACATCTAACGCTTGCTCTGTATGGCAATCATCAACTACAAACAGGGATTTTTGATATCATGATATGATATTATACCCCACCGTGCGAATACCATGTAACTGTAAATAACATTCTATGTCTCTAGTCGTCAGATTCTGGAGAATGGGAACGATGGCACACTTCTTGCATTACCTGGTACAACAGCCTGGAATGCATGATCAACTTGTCGAGCCACAATTATTGATAGGAGGAACGACTGTCTTCCTCCTAAATGGTATGCCTAGGGGAGACTAAGCCACAATGCATATTGATAAAGTCAATATGTTGAAATGACAACATAGAGGTCCGCAGTCCATTAGTACTGTTGCTAATCATGACGCGACTTGAAACCTGAGTCGAACCGCGGCAAGCCCGAGCGAAAGTAACTTAACGGAGGACTAACCTGCAAAACTCAGCACACAACCACTGGCATGAAAGAACTTCGTAAAATTCATTCGTATCCGTAAACTACAGTAGATGTCCATGCAGTACGAAGAGATTTATGATGTCAACATCTCCAGACTTGTGGGAAGCTGTCCATGAAAGTGTCCAGAGCAGAAAGTGGCAAGAATTTACCAGACGAAAAAGAGTACAAGTAATAGTGGATAGTCTATAAAATGTCGTGGATATGAATTGGAGAGATTGATACCATTAGAGATTATTGCAAAGCGAGCATTCAACGTAAATCCTGTTACGGAAGCCAGCAGCTAAATAATTCATGAGTTAGGACATACATCCTCATGCAGTAGTACAAGGGCGATACTCACGAAGGGCTATCAGCGCAGTGAAAACGATGATGACAAGAACATAGAAGAATCCATATTTGATAATCTGTAATATACTGTCAACGCATGCATCATCATGTAGGTAGAAAATAGCTTACTATCCAACGACGTAGCTTCTTCTGTTTGAGAGTGTAAAGGGGAGCACGGATTTGTTTGGAGGGACGCAGCCAGACTAAAAACTGTTGAATGGCAGCAAATACAGATCTTTTGAGAAAACTTACATAAGAGAGTGGCATGTAGGCGGTCGACGTAGGGGAGCAAGATCGGGGGTGTAAGCATGAAAAGTAAGAAATGACCCAGCAGAAGGTCTGAGCACCACAGCGATAGCTCGATGATCTTGACAATGAATTCTCGGGCAGGTTGCGACATGACATGGGAGCCAAGGCCACGACCGTACCATCGGCCTGTCCACCAGGCACGATTCGTCTCGTCGTGCTTGAACTCACGCGATAAGAACACCGCAATAAGTACCTTGTGAACGGCACGTTGTATTGCAATCACGGCTATCAGACCAAGTACGGCGTGTGATGCATTCCATGTCTCAAGGAACCACTATTCGAAGATGAGTAACACGATAAGATAAAGTAGGCATTGGAATAACTAACCAGGAATTCGAAAAAGCCAAGCATGCCGATGACTCCGAGGAGATGAGCAATAAATGCCATGACAGAACCAAACATAGGCCATTTCGGATCCACGATAGGCCCGACGAATATTGATATCACGAACAAAATCAGAAGAACAGCTGCGTTCCACACGATGGGTCCAAGTGAAACAACAGCGATACGAATCAGCGGGCTGGGTGGCAATCTTCCTGTGGAGTCCGGGAACGATTTCACGAACATGTAGGCAATGATGAACAAGATTGCCATCACAATTGGGAAGATAACCTCAGAAACAATGACAGCGCGCCATCCTGCACGAGGAACATCGCCAGATAGTTTTTCGGATGGAAGGCCTAACCTCTTCTTCTTGTATCCAGTGATCATAGTACGAGAGATACGGCAGTAGCCAATCCACGAGTTGTTATGAGATCGCGAATTACCACGAGACATCCAGCGCAAGAATTCCCTATTATATGTTTGCATAAGTAGCAACCCAAAGAAATATGACTTGATTACTTACCGATAGTCAATGATGAAATCAGCAAACGAAAATTGATGAGGGTTGAATAAGAAAGGAGCAACACAGAGCGCAAGAATGGATATCCAGAAGTAAATCAAGTATGGAGTCCACAGAGCCATTGTAACATATAACAGGCTAATCAAGGTCCTCATACCAAGATAAATACTCGGTCCGGCGAAGCGAGAGAACAGGATGCTGAAAGATATACGCGTCGTTGCGAAACCACGTCCCGTCGCAATGTAACGAGCACCACCGAAGGTCAAGTTACTGATGATAGAGTGCGTGTAGATCTGAGTTGAAAACACCTCGAAGACTGGGGAAAGTGACATGAACTGTTTGCCTAAGCGAATGATAGCTCTAGCCGTGCCACGCTCCACCAATTCTGCCAAAGTTATTAATAATCAGAATCGTAGAGATGAATGAAATCAATCTTGCTCCATACCTTGGATAAACAGAGGCAAGAAAGCTATCATAAACACCAAGAAAATACTAATGATACAACGATGTATCCAGTCGAACACAGGCACAAGGTTGTAACATCCTCCTTGATCAGGCAAAAAGCCACCAGTTGAGGTATACTGGCATATAGTGAGCGAAGAGTTGAGCGTTCCGAGGAAGACCACTGAAGACCAATTAATGCAAAGCTACTCAGTAACAAAGGAAAAACTTACTTGTAACTACGAAGCACTGAACGGCAAGGATGATGAGCATGTTGTTAATGTGGAAACCAGGGTGACCGTAGTAGAATGTCAGGAATCGATCAATTGGTAATTGAGTACCCAGATAGTAGTACTCTCTCGAAAGCATTTGTTCACCCATACCAGTCCCGATCTTCGTCTGGAAGTTCAAAATCGTACCAAAGCCAAGATCACGACCCTTTCCACACTGATAGTACTCGGTATGCTTGATACGAGCACCGCGACCGAAAGCATTCATACCAGCGTAAATATCCTCGTTCAGATGAAGACCTTTTTGAGCTTTTGAGATGCCTCCTCGTGTGTTCATGTATACGCCATTGAGGAAATCGGGATGGCCGTAATGGAGTTTCCCACCAATCCAAGCCCAGGCACGGGCAGACAAGGTTCCAAATGTCTGTTCTTTTCCAGCAGCAAGATCACCAAGGATACCAATATTTTCTGAGAAGATGTACTCGCGAGCACCGACGATAGCGACGGGAGCTTTCTTGAACTCTTTGTGCCCGTATTGTGCGTAAGGACTCTGCGTCGACACCGAATACTCTTCGAACTCGCCAAGAATGTTACGAATTTTCAGACACTCCTCGAGGTAATTGTCCTGGTTGGCATCGATGAGCTGTAGGTATTCGCCACGGTAGAAAATGATAGCGTGATTCTGGTTGTCTGACTTTCCGTCACCAAGGATAGGGTTTCCGGGTAGCTCGATGCGGAACTTAGGGCGACGACGACCGGTTTCTGGGATGAACTCGGAATGACCATCAATGAGAGCGGAGAACAATCTGGGGTCACCGCCCTCCTTCCGTGGAGCTTCCTCTTCAAGGTACGCGATCTGGAGATCCGGGTAAGCACGCAGAAGGAACTCAGCATTTTCGTGCTCCTCCTTGTTGAACTTCGAGTAACGTTGCATGGATACAACAAACTTGAACTTGCGTCGTGCCATGCGCTCGAGCTCACGCTCCAATTTGTCCGTGTTTCCGCCAAACTGTTGCACGACTTCGGGGTTCTCTACTCGGTAGAGTAGTTTGATCGCCTTGGAGTAATTCATCATACCAGATACCGTGCGATAAAGAGTCTGAGCGCGAAGGGAAGCCCAAATCCTTGTTCGAAGGGTGAATTCAGGTGCAGCACTCTTGAAACCAATGCAATAGAATGGAAGATCGTCCATCTTCGACTGGCCTTTCTCGTCTGTCCCGAATGGACTGGTACCATTGAACATAGCGGATTCCTCTGCGAGAATCTTGGTGTCCTTGACGAAGTTGTCCCACTCGACCGGGTGAAGCTGTTTCAAGTACTCCAAAAGGGTTACACGAGTGTTCTGATCCTCTTCACGAATAATTTCCCTCAACGACAACAAAATCTAGAGCGAACAACATCAGCCAACACATCACAAGACATGACTAAATTCCAGTACCTTCTCACTGTAATGCGGTGTCAAGACCGTGAACGTGGGCATAGCATCAACCGGAAGTGGCTCGGGTATGGCAGTCGTGAGTGACTGAGCGAAGAAAGATATACGACGCTCTGCTTCGCTGTTAGGAGGGAAGAATTCGCCCTTGAAGCCCTTGTCACTTTGCGAAATGAAGAACGGCGGCGCCCTAAGACTCCGCTTGCCTTCCTGACCAGCATCAATCTGATGATACAACAGCTTTTGCACGTGTTCGATAGATAGCAGATGCTCTCGATACATCGAGATGATGATCGCATTCCAAATTTGTGACACCAAGACCTGATACAAAGTGGTTCAGTTTGCGTACCATGTTACCGCCTGACTTGCTTACCTTGGGCTTATAATTGACTTCCATGTCCCGAGTTGCCAGCATTTTGGAAAATATCCGCTTAGGGAGACGAGTGTAGATGTCCTTCCATGGCGTCCATATAGACAAACCGAGCATGAATGACCGTATAATACTGAATACCGTGTTCCAGATGATGTACCATAGGAAAGTATCCAGGAAGAACAGAACAAGATCCATGATGTACATGATGGTCAGCGTGAAAGCGGCTTGATTGGTGCAGAGATCATTGCCAAAGTACTTGTCATTGCAGCCTTGTATCTTCATTCCGACCATGACCTGGATAGGTTGACGGAAAGACAGAGTCAAGAAGAAGTAAGACTCGGTCGCCTTGCAGCCGAACACGAGGAACCAAAGACCAATTGACGCCAGTCGAGCCTGCCGATGTAAACCAGGGTAACTCGCAGTAAACGTTTGGCTGGCCAGGTATTTCCTAGACTTTCCAGCCACTCGGTCTCCGAACATCCGACCGGAAGGCATTATAGCAAATAACAATGTAGCGACGACCGCTATGAAAAACTGGACAATGCCAAGAATAAGTGCCAAAGAGCCGCCAGGCGATGCACTCTCGGCGATGGCAATGTAAAATGTGGGACCACATGTCAATGCGAGCGTGATGAATAAAAATAGAAGGCGACGAGAAAGATGGGACGTGTTATTCCAGGTTGTTGGGATGTACGAAAATTCCACGAGCGTGGCGAGGATCATGATAATAGATGCCACAGCCCCACCGAGCGCTGTTGTAGACCATGAGAGTGCCGTCGAATTTACCACTGTATTGTCTGGCCTGATAATTTCATAAACCGAAGGCGAGTTATACGCAGTGTAAAACCAGTAGAGAGATACGTGGATAACCCAGATTCGATTGAAGTTGACCAGAAGATGGCCGAAAGACCGTTTCTCGTAATATGTTTTGAAGAAAGCTTTATTCCATTCAACCCGGTCAAACTTCATGAATCGCTGAGAGGGAGGAAGATCCACAAGTCTCGACTGAACACCAATTTATTAGTGTCAAGCATGCTTTTCCAAATACGAAGGAACTACTCACTTTATCAGTGAGTACAATGCGAGCAATACCCTCGGGATACCAGAACAACTGGTTGACATCATCATAACCAATGATTTCTGCATGATCTCTTTCTCTCCGCACGAACCGACCATCGATGACTTCATATCCTTGATCTCGAATAAAGCGGTAAAGAGGTTTCACCACAGAACGAAGATAAAGACCTTCTGGGACAGAATCAACCCTACTTTGGCATTCGGGCGAGCGATAGTAATCATCGGCGCATTTGAAGATAAAGCATAGGCACTCAGGGACGAAGCGAACTTGGGCTGCCTCACCCCATAGTAGGAGATAAAGCGCAATCTGCCTCAGCCTGTCGTACTGACTCATGTTGTTCATTGCTTGACGCCATCTTTCCATCGCAGTCTGAAGCGACTTTTCGTTTGCGGTGCGAGGACCGCCTTTGCGCTTAACTGATTTCAATCGCTGGATGCCGGGATTTTGGGCATGGCCTACAGCATCATCAAGGTCCAGTTGAGCGGCAAAATACCATTTACGGTAGTTGGCGTGTTCGCCACCGATATAGTCTGCATGAAGCGTAAGCAATGCCTGATTTGGTGACATACGTGATGCTCGACTGTCAAGCAATTGCATCAGGAAGTCGAACTTGAAAAAGATGAGTTAGAGCGATAGTATCTATGCAGTGATTAAATGAGAAGCTTCCTTACCATATTACGCATGGAGTCTCGTTGGAAACCGAATTTTTGTGTAAGGTCCAAAAAGATGTCTTCGATTTCCTCTTTTGAAAGAGGAATTTGACGCTCTACGGTCCAAGCTGGGTACGATTCACGAGCACCAGGGGGGCCACTATATTCGGCATACGTTGTAGCAACCGAGTCCGACATGCCTACACGGGAGGCACCCAGAGACTCTGCAGAAGGATGATAACGCTGTCCGTAGACGTCGACATCTGAATCTGTGTCTGGATGGGCTTGCGAAGAAGATGTATGAGCATGAGAAAGGGAGTGAGAGTGGGCTCCACATACTGTAAGGATCGTAAGGGCTGTTGTCGAAATAGCGGTCGTCGTTTAGTCCATTATTACTACTGTCTGAGGCATAGGTGTCTCTGCGTCCATACGAGTCTACATTGTCTGAATCGTTGTCATATGCGTATCTGCGAGGAACAGCGGCAGCAGAGCTGAAAGGATCATTGGGATCACCTGTTGGGGACGAGGAATGGGGATACATGGGGCCTCTTCTCTTTGGCCTGAGCCAACAGGTAATGGTGGAAGTCTAAAGACAAGCAAGAAGAGACCTCGAGGTTGGTCGTCGTTGGCGGAGATGACGAAGGGGCGAGGTTTGAAAGAGTCGTGGGCTGCGACTCCCGTGCTGTGTATTGCCACCGGGCTTTCCCAGGACACACCTCGTGGGCGCGGTCTCACAGACCGCAAACCGGTTTGGTTCACAAAGCCCAGACTCCGCGAAAAAGTCTCATGCCCTTGCAAAACAGACTTCATATCCATATACCACTCACTATACTAGCACGATATGTACATTAATCACTTCACCACCACTGCGCATGCATACCTGCAAACACCCCAGCACTATACCCCCCTCCTTCCTCCGCAGCACCTCCAAGCTTCTCGCGAGCACCCAAGACAAACCACATGAGCCTGCTTGCCCCATATACCGTCATCACGCCGAGCTCATCGACGAAAAAGCGGCAATCCGGCGGACCATATTCACCACGGTAGCTTTGCTTCCGTGTTCCGATCCCTATGTCCAAAATGTCATCAGTCCCTATGTCAAATATAGATCGTAGGCTCCAAATCGACGTGCCAACGTACAGGAGTAGAAGTTATCGTACCGTGGCACGATGTAGTACACTTATCGTGTGGCTTTACCACGAACCAGCGCACGCCTTATCTTTGTCCGAACCAGTGTCGAAATATCGCATACGCCAAACCACCAAGGACAACGACAATAGTTGCCACCGTTTTCGAACCCACAACACTGGTTTCTTGCTCCACCTGAGAGTCATCGTAAACGTTGTAGGGGTGAGTAAAACAAAAATACCCCATCCCAAAAGGATAGGCACCTACCACGTTAGTAAAAGGGGACAAAATTGGTATCGTGAAGTGGGAAGGGGAAGGCCACCAAGAGGCAGACGCGGAAACGTGACTAGCTGATTTCATCATCATATATGTGACCAGACCAGCTAGTATCATGATGCACGCTATGAGAGCAACCTAAACATGTACCTTCGTGATATAGATCAAATGGATATGACCTAAACTTGGACTTACTACACATTTCTCAAGTTTGTCTTGTCTGGTCTCGTGAGCCCGCACCAAAAGTGCTATTTCTCGCTGCACGAAGCCCAGGTTGGTTGTCGGTGAGAGAAACAGCATGTGAGTAGAGCACATGAACTCACCGAGCGCTTTGATTCTTCCGAGAATTTGAGACTTGCTAGCTCACGTTGGTGTGAAGCCCGTGCGGTTAGCATAGTTTCCGCTGTCAGAGCTCTTGCAGCCCAGTATTGCTCGACGTAAGTTCGTGGCTTCATCGACGCCGGGGAACTTGCAGCATTCCAGACCTCTGCGATATTTTTGCTAGGCACGAGATCCATGACAATAGCACTAGAGCTTGGAATAGATGGCTGAGTTGTGGCCGTCGATCCACTTCTATATGTATAAGCATTTTGGTTTCCATTGTATATTGCGGTCGTAGTAGGAGAACTGGGGTGTCTACTCGAGCCACTGAGCGGTTGAGCTGAGCTAGCCACCGACTGTTGCTTCTTGAGCTTGTTCATCCACGGTTCGATATTCACTGAACTATCTGGTACTTCTAGGTGAACTGGTTGAATTTACTTCTTCTAAGGTGCCCGAAGTAGTATACGCACTGGAGCTAGTGTCAGTGATAATGAGATACGAACCGCATTGAAGACATTCGCACGTTGAACTCGAACAAACTTGACCAAACCAAACCGTTGCACCGTTCTTGCTGCTACTATGCTACATCATTAACATTGTACTTCTACAGCACTTTCCAATGCTCCAAGCACATGCCTCGGCGACATGGATGCATCCGGGGGTCGTTGATATGTAATCCAGGACTACATCGCGGAAGAAATGGCCGTCCATCTATGCAGGACATTAGTCTCGAGCCAGCCGTTTTGGGAAGGCGCGGGATAAGCCGCGCTGAGAGGTTCCCAAAACGTCTGGAGACTTTCGTCTTAGGACGAGTGCATCGAGTCACAGTGTCACAGACACTCGACTCTTTTAGGCAACGATTGCCGCTTTTAGACTACGATTATCATGATGTAATTATGCTTAGTAGTACAGAAATCAGAAAATATTGACGAGTCCCATATTCAATGATCATTCAATTATTCGTCACTCTCCATGCTTCATTAAATGGTCACTGTCCCTACAGAATATCTATCCCATGAAGCCATCAAAAAGAAATCCTATACCAACCTTGTAGAGGCTTGTCAGAAAGCTGAAGCAGCAGGCCAAGAAGCAGACTTACAAGAATCACTTCGAAATTTTGTCCGCCAACAATGCAATGGCCGCACCCCCTATTCATGGCAAGTGGACGCTGCTGAGGCCTTTACTTTGGGACTCGACTGCACCATTATTGCTGGCACAGGATCTGGAAAGACTTTGGCTTATGCCATGCCATCCTTCATACAGAAGGATGGCATGACAGTCGTTATATCGCCGTTGAAAACTATAGAAGAGGAACAGGCCGATCAGTTTCGTGCATGGGGCATACAGTCAGTTGCAGTAAATGGAGACACATATAATCAAGACTTACACAATGTAAGTCTATTTCTTGAGTCTCTATGTTGCTTTAAACTCGTCGGCATGTGTAGGAGCTCGAGGACCTTAAATATCAAATATTGTTAGCATCACCAGAATTGACAATTGAAAACCCCCAATTCAATGCATTGTTGTGCTCACCTGCTTTTCAGAAACGTGTACTTGGATACATAGTTGATGAAGCCCACTGTATCTCACAGTGGGGAGGTGACTTTTGGCCAGTGTATGCTAAATTAGATAGGCTCCGTTCATTTGTGCCTCTAGGCACACCTATATATGCAACGTCAGCTACAATGTCCCCTGCTGTCTTGGCCGAGGTTCAAAAAACACTGCACATTAGCACATCAAAATCCTTTCATTTGAACTTGGGAAACAACCGACCTAATGTAACGCAGGAGCTTTGCATCATCGCTGGCTCCACAGACTATTCGGCCCTTGATTTCATTGTCAAAGATGCACAGGCTGCCAATGAAATACCACGGGCACTCATCTTTGTTAACACTGTTAGTCAGTCCCAGGCTGGCTTTCGGAGACTCCATGGAATTGTATCTGACCAACTAAAGAGTCAAATCAGTTATTTGAATGCCAGGCGCTCGCCACGCACCAGGAAAACTGTCTTGCGTGACTTTTGTGAAGGAAAAATAAGGGTTATGTTTGTGACCAAAATAGGTGGCATGGTTAGCATTCGGAGCAATTTAATAAGCTTGCTTTGTCTAATAATTAAACAGGGACTCGACATACCAGATGTCGAGGTGGTGATCCAATTTGGAGTCCCATCATCACTGTCAGTATGGCTCCAAAGAGCAGGCCGAGCTGTCCGCAACTTCAGTCTTCAAGGACGTGCTATAATGATGGTTGAAGTGTCAGTGCTTCAACGCGTTAGTAAAAAAAAGAAAGGCAGAACTGGAGAAGAGAACTTAGAGTCAGAAGATGAGCTTGAAGACTCAGACCACGAGATTGGAATACAGAAAGATCCAACGTACTGCAAGAAAATAGAAGAGCCTCTTCGAGCCTGGATTGAAACCACAGGTTGTCGGCGTGATATTGCAGATGCATTTTACAATAATCCACCCAGCCGTACACGTAGGTTGCACATTTTCTGTGGCAGCGTGAGATTCTGATGTTTGAACCTAGCACCTACCGGCGTCTGCTGTGACAACTGCGACAGAACTGCGACGGGCCTTATGCCCTCCAATATTATTTTACCTCCACTCAGTCCTGCTCACACATCCTCCAAAACTAGCGACAAGGAGCAGGAAGACACACCTACCCATGAACAGAATGCAATGGGCAAGCGTGTGATGAAAACTGCTGATCAGAATTCCCCACTCACTCAACGCACAGGCCAACATCTCCAAACCATCAAGGATGCTCTGGACCATTGGCGTGTGACGATCCGCCAGCGTGACTATCCCCACTGCTCATTTACTGGCCTCGCCCTTCTCCCCGATCTCACTCCAAAATCAATAGCCTCTAATTGTTTGTGGAAAACGATCAATAATCTTTGCGGATCTCTCGGGGCCTCATAGCCATTAGTTGATGTATATGGTGGTGAGGTTCTGGACTTGGTGAGGCAGTTGGACGACAAAGTGCGAGAGTCTTGTGAAGGGGCCAAAGTCGAGAAACGCCAAGCAAAGAAGCTTGCAAGGGAGGCCGTGAAAGAGGAGAAGAAGGCTATAGGAAGGGAGCTGAAAGTGCAGAAACGAAGCTCACACCGAGTCCGCAATTCCAGCGCAAGTGGTAAAGAAAATGTACCACTGCCTGGTACCTCAGAGTAAGTTATTTCTTCACTTACCGGCTGATACCACTGATACTCTTTCTTGTAAGGTTCCAAGTAAATGTCAACACACCCTTAGTCCCGCTAGACGCAACTCAAACTTTGTATGCCACCTGGACCTTAACGCCTTCATCCTCCACTGCTGTGCCGTTGTTTTCGCCTTTCACTCCCTCATTTTTTGCCAGTTCTTTTCAGCCCAATACGGAGACCTACAAGGGCTAGCAGGAGGTGCAATACCTTGGACTATAGTACTGTATATAGAACAAGTGATTATATATATTTATCTTTTATCCTCTTGTTCGAGAGTGCTGCTCCCCTTGAGATGATATACTAAGGACTCACTTTATCCTCCGTGGGTCAGGTAATACATTCTGGTATATCTCTCAGTACCGCTTACCTCAAGCCTCGAGTTGTTCACCCTCCCATGCTACTGACAGACAATACACTCATGGACTTCCTTCATCCTCCGTGGGTCAGGTAATACGTTCTGGCATTCGTTATAGTACATTTGTCACTACCCTACCATATCTCCTGTGTTGCCCGAACATAACTTCTATTATTCCACCATCTTGCCAATGTCCCTTTTGTGAGTATGTTGAAAGATCCTTTTGTCACAACATCCATAGTCCCATCTGCTTTAGTCTTCACCTCTCGTCCATCCTGCTGTGTGTGAATATTTGAGGCAATGTATGCATTATGCAGGATCTCGATATCATTCTCCTTGAGTGGGTCAGAGTGGTGTAGGCCTCGTCAAAGCGTCCGAATTTGAAGTTCTGTATGCTTGTGCACAGCTCTGAGTGCGGGAATGGCTGGGGAAGTTTTCTTCATAAGAGCCCAAGATGCATTTGGGCCACCAGTTCCAAATGTAACCTTTGTGTCCTTGATATTATGTTCCTGCCCTTTGTCTATAGGCAGAAATCCGAGGGGGTGGCCGGTCGTGTTCATCAACCAGCAACTGTGAAGAACAAAGTCTCTGTCAAGTACAAGTTAGTAAATTCCAACAAAATGCGAGAGAACTGTACTTTAGTTCTGGTGGCCATTTGTGCTGCAGACATTGTAGTAGCTCTAGCACTTCAATAGTATACCTTTTGTTATTACCTCCCGCAAAACGATACAAAAGATGGGGCAGAGTCTCCTCCATTATTCCCACATCACCGCATTCCATGGCCCTCTCTAAATCTATATACCTCAACACATCACAATTCCACAGGATGCTCTGACGCAAGACTTCGTCCTGTGTGTTTTTGCTTTGCAGGTGAATGGCCTCTAAGGCAGTACTAGATGCGAGTGTCTTCAAAATTTCTTCTGCAAGATGGACAAGTTGGCCTGGGGATTTGCAACGGAGATGTGCCAGGGTCTCTACTTCACCCACAACTGTCCAACATGCGCAAAAGTGTGTTTCAGCAACTTGAGTGATTGCATCGTGCAGATTCTGATGGAAAGGCCCTCGGGTTTGCACAAAACCCAGTCCTTTTCTTTCGAGCAAAGTGAAAGTATGCATAAGGCCCCGGCCAGCTGTAGTCCCTAAGTACTGCTTGTGCCGTGAGTTAGCAAATGCCATCTGTAAATGAAACCACCCAAAGATGGGTACGAGCCAGTCCAAACGGTCAAAGGAATTGTGATCCTGAGCACAGAACCTAAAAAGTCCTCGTAGCCGCTCCACTGTTAGCTGGTCACCAACCCATGGGATTACTCGTTCAAGACCAGTCTTCTTTTGTTTGTCAAGAGAGTCCAGCCGAAGCTGGGAAAGCCACTTGCCCAAAAGCATCTCATTGCCTTCGTAGCTGGCTTCTTCAATATGTACTGTTCCCAGCATGTACTGCTTTGTGATATATTGTTGGCCTGATGGTAGTCTTTGGACAGGAGCAGATGGGTTGAACACTGAATCATTACAGTGTTGATATGTTTCAAAAGAAAATTCCGGTGAAGTAATGAGCCACTGAAGAACATGGTAGAGATCACGGGAATAACGAGAAGAGGCTGCAGCCTGTTCAAGGAGTAGGATGCCTTGCACTGTGAGTGGAACCTTCCGTCCAGCTGCTCAATACTCCTGTAGTGTACGGTTGCAGAGTGGTTTAATTGGAGGAGCGCCTGGTTGTAAAAATACGGTAGCTGCAGTTCCCGAATCAAAATGGCTTTTGTTGTCAACTCGCTGTGAAAAGACACGAAAGGGAATATTAAGGTTGTTGTGAGATATCACAAAGGGATGGATGTGGATTATTTTACAGAGTTCATCCATCTTGTTCTTAGAAATAGAACTGATGGCCCGGACAGACCATTTATGGCTCATGGTCAGGCAAAATGTCCGTAGGAGGTCGAGGCTTTTTGCAGAGATGCCTTGAGACTTAAGGAATGTTGTCAACATTTTTGGCCAGTGGCTGTGATGATGAGAGCGCGAGAACATGATCTGAAATGTAATAGAAATATTGACCTGGTGATTGGGAATTCAGTGTTAGTAATAGCTTTGGATGATTGTACTACGCACCAAGTCAGGATTCTTCAAAGTGTTTTGTTTCTCTTGTGCAGCTGTTTTGTTGAGTCGCTGAAGCAAGGCTCAGAATTTTGGGGTGCCTCCAAAACCAGGACTACACAGTTTCAACAATATGTCTTCAATGTAAAGGCTTGTCAGGCCTTCTTCCGAAACATCCTCTGGGGGACAATAGCACATGTCCTTGATGGATTCCAGCTCAGCCTCGAGTATGTCTGCAACACATGACAAGGAAAATTCTTCGAGCACCAGTTGTGCTCCATGAGCAAGGGAATTGCGAGTCCCTTTTGTGTGTGGGGGTTTGTGCCACCACTTTAAAATCCCTGGAAGCTCAGCACTGACCATCAACGAAGTCCTTGCATACCAGATTTTTGTGTCAATGATAGACTCGTGATCATCCCAACTAAGTAAATCCAAAAATAATGGTAAGTCAAGGCCTACTGAATTCATGTAGTCCAGGATAGCTCGAACTTTGGCTGCGGGACTTCCTGTTAGGTTCTCCTTTAAACGGTGAGTGTTGGCAAGTTGAATGGGGGATGATGTGTATGAAGGGAACTCCGAGCTGTTGCTATCTGCCAGTGGATCATAATCTGGCTCAAACAAACCATCAGCAATGAAAGGATTGTAGTCAGTATCCTCATTGACATCTGAGAAGCTGAGGGAGTCATCGGATGTTTGGTCTTCACTCATGTTATCCAGCATTGATCACAAAATGCAACTCGGAGAAACTGTATAAGTATGTACAAGGACCGACAGATAAGATAAGATAATCAAATGATAGAGGCAATAAGTCCCGGTGTGACACGATGCACTTGTCGCCCATCAAATGTCTCCAGACGTTTGGGAAGTGGCTCCAGCACGGTTTATTCCGCGCCTTCCCAAAATGGCTGGCTCGAGACTAACACTAAGGCCACATATGCCGGATTGAAGCACCGATCTGGCAGAGGAAAGCCTCAAAAAATGACGAAGTCCCACTGCTAAGAAATAATAGTAGAATAGTAGGCATTGCTTTCATGCTTGACTCAAAATCAAAACAACAGTTTCACCAGATTCAAAGTATATTTAACTACAAAACATAGTACGGTTGACCCAACTCATTATAATATGTAATTGTCACACCATTTTCATCAGTTGGGGGAGGTAAAACACGCTCAGAGATATTGAAGTTATATGAGGGCCCAGGAGTACTACAGCCTGGGCCAGAGAAACTGTTGTAAAATGTGGGGTCAGGAAATTGCGATTGTGTGGCCAAAAAATATGGAGTCTGGACAGACTGGGGGGAAAACGCAGTAGATGAGTTGACACTAGAATATAAGGGTGATTGGGATGATTGTCCGGAGTGACTAGAACCCTCAGGGGCCTGAACACGATGGCCAAAAAGGCCAGCAAACCGGGGGTTATCCGCTAACTCCTTATGTCCTTGAAGGTGAGACTTGATCCTTTCAATGAGGGCTTTGACTGTCCCATCAATTGGTAAACCAAGAGCACCGGCTATAACAATGAGGTCCTCCTTGCGCTTGTAAGATGCAAGAGATCTGTGTTACAATAACACAATTTTCGGACCTTTCCTTCTTTTTCATTCTCCGCTTTAACCTTGTACACTTTAGCTTTCACACATGGTGCCACACGGCACTTCCCCTTTTGTTCAAACTCCTCTTTCTCGCGCCGCATTGCCTTCTTCTTATTTCAGATACAACTCTCTCACACAGTGGAGCTGGTCATGCGGGCTAGGCCCCATGACATCATCAGCCACTGACTTTATCAACTGTACAGTACATAAGTACAAACACTCTGTATTAGTATATATACCCCAAGAAATCCAGGAGACTCCTTAGCGAGTCCTCCTGTTGTATACCAACAAACTCTCTGCAGCTTAAGGGGTAGCCACTCCCTCAACATCTTCTTTATAGTGTGTTCTTGTGTGTGCCAGAGTAACTAACTCTTGGTCGTTACAATCTGTCAAAGACTTTCATCACAGTCTCTATTGTTATTCATGTGTTATGAGCGGTGTTTTCTTGCTGCTTACTTGCCTCATTTTCTGTGTCTATGTGGGCTTTCTCCTTCCGCTCGATCTCCTGCTGTTCGAACACGGCCTTTAATTCAGGATGAGTGAGAAACTGGGCAGTCGGCATATACTATCAAAACATCGGTCACTCATTTTGCCTGGTTGAAGTGTGGGTGGGTAGTTTTTGAGCTGGAGAAGGTTCATCCCCTTGCGTTGCCCATGTTCATTGCTGTCCCATTCACTTGGGTACACTTATCTTTCATCCATTGTCTTCGCTACAGCTACAGCTACCACACACTGCCTGGGACTCACTTGTTCCAAATTGGAACTACTCCCCTCCCTCCCTCGTTTGACCAGGTAGTCCAGTACAACCAGTCCATTGGTAAGGCCATGGAACCGTCAGATTTGGACTAGGTGGTGGACCGGTGGCTCCAGTTTCTTTTTTTTCAGCAGAACATTCATTTACAGTGCGATTATTTTTGATTTTTGAATCATTTTTATGGACCCATATTTTTTTAGAATGCCTGACTGACAATAAAGGAACTGTGTTGATACTGATAGTGTTTTGCCTTGCCCTTTTTTTTACTGCATCTTCCCATGACATCATGATTCTCCTGCTCTCTTTTTGCTATTGGACTTTACTTTATGGCTGTACAAACCTGTGACATTACTCACAGCATTCATTGTTCTATCCCTTTCTTTTCCTTTCTTTGACGATCTTATCCTGTACTACCTACGCAGGATTTGTCAGCGTACATTCCTTCCTTCATGTTCTTTCTCATTCTTTTTGCACAGCTATACTGTGTATAGCCTACATTTTTTTTACTATATAAACCCCTGTCTTTTACCTTGTAAAAAAACAAGAACTCAAATCCAGACTGTTCTAGGAGGCAAAGCCCATACACAAGTTCCGTGGAATCTGGGAGGATTGTGTGTTAGTTTGTTTTGTGTGTGGTTTTCTAACAGCAGTTCTCATCATTGACAGTGGCTGTAATTTATGAGTGGTTTTTGATGGGAGGCGATAGATAATGATGCTGTGTTTATAAGCTAGAGCTTGAAGGACAGGTTGCTCATGCGAGTCATGGCCATACAAAGTAAGAACAACCGACCTGTCATCAATGCGGCAAACTTGGGACTCAGGGATAAATGTCTTGTTGAACCACTCCTCACATATTCCACGGTTTGTCCAGCCAGTTTTTGTATGGGATATACTGGAAGAGGAGGTTAGTAAAATGATATGGGCAGAGGATTGGAGAAAACAGACCTTCCTATGACCTCGACGGCACTTAAATCAGGCAGTGGCCCCTCCTTCAACACGGAACCAGGCCTCATCAACACTCCAGCAGCGCTAATGCACTCTATCACCGTAACAAGCTCCAAATTGTTGTCTGAGATGCGGTATGATCCCTTCTGCTTCCTATTATAAAAGTACTTTGTCCCGTCTCCTTTCCTGCCTCCTCCCATTTGAATCCCCTTCTCGTCCATGTTCCAGTCATGTTCCGGAGGAATCCCACCATACATATCATTCAACTGTTTTCGCTGTGCAAAGTAGTCAGCCACTACTGTCTGGTTGAAGTTCTTCGCTCTCTTCGGGTCCAGTTTCTGCGGCTTTCGGAGAACAAGTGATGGATTATGGCTAATCAACCTGTAGTGCCAATGTTTTCCAGGGATTTTTCCCAACATATCATGCACACACGACCAAAGCTTCTTGGGATACATGGGGTTGGCCATGGTGTCATAGTGTTGTGTCCAATCGAGCAAAACCGATTCTTCTGCTGCAGATAGGAGCTGTTTCTTTTCTTGACCTTGTTGGTATGTCTTGTGCACTCCTTTCGCTTGATCATGAAGTGTTTGACGGGCAACCTAAACTCCAGATCACATTCATCTGATCAATCAATCAGAAATCTAAGCACTCACATTTTTTAACCTTGCAGCCTCTGCATATAACTTGTAGAGCCCCCGTTTATAGCCCTCTATCGCTGCCTGTATCCTATTCTCGTATTCCAGGTCCTTCAACACTCAGTAGGGACATTTTGCTGCTATTTTTTGCTGACGGGCCATTGTAGGACTCTTGAAGTGTGTCAAACACGTTATTCGACAGCCTGTGGCGCACATACACCTGGGTCTGAATCTGACTTTCGGGAGCTTCCGCTCTATTGTTTGAGCGTTACATAGCTGTTACAGGTTGAAAAATGGCTTGAAAGAAGGGACAGAAGAATGGCTTGATATTTCGAGCTGAAAAAACTTCGGGAGGGATTTTTAAGGTCTTTCAATTCACTGGGTAAAATAACTAAAGTAAGTACTAAGTGCTATATGGTGTTTTCAGATAGTGTCCAAATTATACCTCAAATATGAACTGACTGGGAACAACAGTAACAAAGGGGACAGTGGTTGTTACAATTGACATACCAGTACCTACTCACACTTTACTTTTCGTACTTTACTTTTACTTTTTCCAAGTCACATGACCAGTCATGTGACCATTTACCTTACTTTTCATTTTCGGACCTTTCCTTTGATTTTCATTCTCCGCTTTAACCTTGGTAGTTTTCACACTGTGCCATGTGGCACTTCCCCTTTTAGTTCTAACTCCACCTTTCTCGCGCGGCACTGCCTTCATTCTTATTTTAGATACAAGTATCTCACACAGTGGAGCTGGTCACACGGGCTAGACCCCATGACATCAGCAGTCACTGCTTCTAGCAACTGTACAGTACATATGTACAAACAAACATGTATTCAGTATATATACCCCAATAGATCCAGGAGACTCCTCAGCGAGTCCTCCTGTTGTATACTAACTAACTCACTGAAACCTGAGGGGTGATCCCTCCTTCTCTCTTCTCTATAGTGTGTTCCTGTGTGCACCGGAGTAACTAACCTATTCCTGTACATGAAACATCCACACGCAGGATTCCAAAAAACTCTGACCTCCATGAGGTTTTTAGACATACTGGAGTTATAGTCTGGGATGAAGCACCAATGCAACACTGTCATGGGATTGAAGCATTGGATTGTACATTGCGGGGCATTTTGGATAATCAGCTTCCATTTGGAGGCATTATAATGGTCTTTGGAGGGGACTTCGACCAAACAATACCTGTTGTTCCAAGAGGGTCAAGGCAACACATTATTTCTGCCTCTCTTAGAAAGTCACAACTGTGGACAAATATCCATGTCTGCTATCTCACACAGAACATGCGCCTGGACCGTACTCCAGAAAGTGAAGCCTTTGCTAGCTGGCTCCTGGATGTTGGTGGTGGTTGTAGAATTGCAGGAGATGGAACTATTGAGCTTCCCGCCAACATGCTTATGCCAGAAAACACCATAGACTCATTAGTCAAAATGATGATATTAGTGACCTTAATTCAGAAATGCTCACAAAATTCCCTGGAGAAGAGTTAGCAGCTCTGTAAGTGGTTGGAGAGGGACATGAATATTATCCTGTGGAATTCTTGAACTCCTTGCAAGTATATGGCCTGCCGCTTATGCTCCTCCGTGATATTGATCCCCTAAATGGACTCTGTAATGGAACACGCATGATTTTGATAGAGATGAAGAGAAGAGCATTGAAGTGCCGTGTCTTGGGAGGAAAACATGCAGGAAAGATAGCTTTTGTTCTACGCCTCACATTGGAACCTTCATCAGAAGAATTGCCCATCAAGCTATCACGTCGTCAATTCCCTGTTCGTGCTGCCTTTGCCATGACCATCAACAAGTCTCAAGGTCAATCAGTGACACAGGTTGGGCTGGATTTACATGTTCCAGTGTTTTCACATGGGCAATGTTATGTTGCATTGTCTCGCTGCACTTCAGGAGAGAAAATGAAAGTGCTATTTCCACATGGTTCAAATGACAGATGTACCATCAATGTGGTGTATCCCAAAATTCTGACTGGCTTTATCTATCACTGGCAAGTAGATTTTTCCCCAATTCTCACCCTTTTTACTGAGAGTGTTTTTGTTCTCAGATTATATTTTCGTCCTTTACCATTTTAGTAGTCTCTTTTTTTATTTCTCATCAATTTATCAATGTAATACCACAGACTTTTTACGTTACAATATATGTTGATGTATGTAAAGGTTCAATGAACTATCTGCTTGAATTCAGTATACTGTGCACAAGTTTAGGGCAGGCTTATAAGGACATTCAACGACAGAACTGCAAGTCAAACATGCATCATAGGATTCAAAGACTTAACATACATTACAGACAGCATAAGTTTACTTAACATTTTGATCACTTAACAGTGGTATTATTATTATTATTTATTATATCACAAAAACATTGCACCAGTGGCAGAGCCATGGGCTGGACCTCATTCCGGTAACGGTCAAGGCTTACTTTAGTTAGCCTCAGATGGTAGCATGGCACTTCAGGTGAGCACAACGCACCGCAGAAAAGGTCGAATTTTCCATGATCAACATGTGGTGAAAATGTCTAGATTTTCGCCACATGTTGATCGGATGTTAATCAGATGTTGAAGGATTGAAATGTGATCAAAATGGGCATATATTACACCACATATCTATGAGATATCAAGCACATTTTGACAGTCTATTCATGCATAAATATCTCGGAATTCCATTATATTTATTGAATAATATTGTACATATTATGTAATTATCAAATTACCATACTTATTTATATATACTGCTTTTTCGTTGGCAGAAATGTTCTTATAATTGTCCCTAGCTTGGGATTGTTGTCCTCGTCAATGGCAGGCAATAAAATATAATCTGTTCTCCTTTATATATACAAGTCTGACAAGAAAAAAACCCCCAGCCTGCAAAAACCCCATGTCCTCCACACCAAACCAAAATATCCAATGGCTGAATGCTTTAGTTGAGCTTGTTGAAGAGCTAAAGGCCGACCACAAAGGATTTAAAGGACTTGTAGCGAAACGATTCCAGGTTCTGAGTGCCAAGGTTCAACTCCTACAGACCAACAACAAACATCTGAAGCATGAGAATCAAGACCTTAAGAAACAAATCAATGTACTTACTGATATATTAGGTGTTCAGTATGTTGACAACAAAAATGCTGGCAAGGATAGTGATGACAGGACAGTGTTAGAGGGCTCCAGTGATCTGCCGGAGGGAGTGTCCCAGATTCCTAACAACAGTGCAATGTCCACTGACCAAGCACAGAAGAGTCTTGATGCTGTTTTGTCAAAGCCTGTCAGAGTGATAGAAAAAAGACTCACCCACTAATAACCTAACAAGGATGCAATCCTCAAGGCTTTTTCCCATTACATGGGGATAAGCAATGTCCAGCCAAAAAATCTACCTGCCTTCCCATTCGGCATATCCAAAGATCACCAAACATGGCCTAAGGATCCCTTAACTCAGAAACTGTATCATCATTACAACTGGGCACTTACCGCAGATGACCCAACCAATGCGGAGTCTCTATAAGAGATCTGGGTCATGGATAATGCACCCACTAAGATTCCAGAGGCCAACATTATAGATAAAGTTGAAGCCAGGTGCAATTGACTGAGTTGATATACTGTCTTCATGATTAAAAGAAGAGTCTATCTTATGGCGGTATTGCATTGGATTTTGACTTATCTTCTACTGTACAGGACTTAGTCATCTAGATAAGTATGTATTATTTCAAGATTTACAGGTCTACAAGTTGAAATGGAAAAATGCCTAAGTCCTCAATGGGTATCTTGTCAATATGCACCAAAAATGAGCATATTCTCAGAAGATATCAACCTTTGGATATCCGGTCAATATTTTGTGGATATCACCAGAACATCTGGAGATTGGCGGGAAATATCCATGGTTGAAAATCCGACTTTTTTTGCGGTGAGGTTGGCTCAGTTGAAATATTTGGCACTGATCTTGATGCTCAGCTGAATACAGGCCAATATAGAACAAACACAAAATTTTATATCTAACTCAAACCCAGAATGACCACTTCTATCTGTTCACACCCACAGTATGTAGGCTGACTGAAAATAGATCAAAATGAATATACTCTAGGATGAGCAGTGTAACAACCAAGAGTTAGTTACTCTGGCGCACAACTCAGGCAAGCAAAGAGTAATGAAGGGAGTGGTTACCCCTTAAGATACTGCTACAGAGTGTTTGTACTTATGTACTGTACAGTTGATGAAAGCAGTGGCTGATGATGTCAGAGGTCGCAGCCCGTGTGACCAGCTCCACTGCGTGAGAGATTTGTAGCTAAAATAAGAAAAAGGCAGTGTAGTGCGAGAAGGTGGAGTTTGAACAAAAATGGAAAGTGCCGCATGGCACAGTGTCTGAAAACTATAAAAGAAAGTTGAAGAGGAGAATGAAAATTAAAGGTCTGAAAATTGTGTATTGTAATACTACCCCCCTTTAAGGTTCAACTTCCAGGCGAGACCAAGTACCGGAGGTGGTAGTTAAATTTTTGGGCATCAGTTGAAAAAGGGAGTTAAAAAGTGTTGAATCCATGCCTCTAAGCTTCCTAGGAGCTGAGGGATTCTTAGAATAAAATTTGCGAACAGCATTGCAAGAATTGTCCAGATGGGCTTCTGGTTCCCACATTTTGTCCTCATCTCCATAGCCCTTCCATAGGACTAGGAACTCTAATTTTCCACGCTTCAAGTGTGCATCCACCACTTGTTCAACTTCAACTTCTTCTTCACCTTCCTGGGTGACTATAATTGGTCCAGGCCGGTCCATGCGCTGTCCCGGTGTTGAATGATGAGAAATGCTGTTAGAAAACCATACACAAAACAAACTAACACACAATCCTCCCAGATTCCACGGAACTTGTGTATGGGCTTTGCCTCCTAGAACAGTGGAGTGGTCTGGTTGTTTGTGGGGTGATATATATGACGATCCTTCAAAGTAAAACCCAGAGATGTATGGGTGTGGGTTTTGAGGAGGAGGGATAGTTGGATGATAAAAGATAGGGGCTTTGTGATGAGTATGGACAAGCACTGTCTTGCTAATAGTAGCATAAGGTAGGTTTGAGAATGACAATGTGACGAGGTGACAAAGTTCCCAATGATAGCAGGCTCCTGATGCACAAACTGTAGTGCTCAAAAGGACTCTAATCAAAAGGGATGACAGTGACTTTCAAAAATGACGAGTGACAATGACAGCAGACAGCAGTGGTAGCAGTGGGAAGTATTGTGACCACACTGGATCACAAGTAGCAGAGTAGTGAACTTGAGATTTAGAGAAGAAGTCTGGACTGGAGTTCTTGTTTTTTTACAAGGTAAAAGACAGGGGTTTATATAGTAAAAGAAAGGGAGGCTATACACAGTATAGCTATGCAAAAAGAATGAGAAAGAACATGAAGGAAGGAATGTACGCTGACAAATCCTGCGTAGGTAGTACAGGATAAGATCGTCAAAATAAGGAAAAGAAAGGGATAGAACAATGAATGCTGTGAGTAATGTCACAGGTTTGTACAGCCATAAAGTAAAGTCCAATAGCAAAAAGAGAGCAGGAGAATCATGATGTCATGGGAAGATGCAGTAAAAAAAAGGGCAAGGCAAAACACTATCAGTATCAACACAGTTCCTTTATTGTCAGTCAGGCATTCTAAAAAAATATGGGTCCATAAAAATGATTCAAAAATCAAAAATAATCGCACTGTAAATGAATGTTCTGCTGAAAAAAAAGAAACTGGAGCCACCGGTCCACCACCTAGTCCAAATCTGACGGTTCCATGGCCTTACCAATGGACTGGTTGTACTGGACTACCTGGTCAAACGAGGGAGGGAGGGGAGTAGTTCCAATTTGGAACAAGTGAGTCCCAGGCAGTGTGTGGTAGCTGTAGCTGTAGCGAAGACAATGGATGAAAGATAAGTGTACCCAAGTGAATGGGACAGCAATGAACATGGGCAACGCAAGGGGATGAACCTTCTCCAGCTCAAAAACTACCCACCCATACTCCAACCAGGCGAGACGAGCAACTGATGTTTTGATAGTATATGATGGCAGATCGACATCATGAAGATGGACCTGTTGCCCTATGCCGCTGGGGCTTTGCTGATATCAGCAGTGGCATGTGGTGGTTGACAGATCGGCGATAGAAGCAGATAGGAAGTGGTGACATCAGAAATGGTAGGGGAGCAAAGAAGATGAGGAGGAGGAGGCTGGAGGTGACGAAGAGGTGGATTAGAATGGGGATCCAGAAACGACCGTCAGGTGAGAATAAAAGGAGAGGAAGGGGCCCATGGTGGGGCTAGGCAAAGGAAGGGGAGTAAGGGAAACAATGAAGGCAAGGGCACAATGCAATGTGTAGCCAGTGGCAACGCAAAAAGTTGCCAAAATGCCGAAACACGGAAAGTACTGAATGGAAAGCAAAGGTGAGCGTGACTGGATTGCCTAATAGAGGTGGTGCTGATCAGCCACAAGATTGAAAAAGGCAATATTAATTACTATTGCACGTGGCACTGTGCCTGTGTGGCGCAAAGGCGAGTCTTTTTGAATATTCGCTTTGTTATTGACACCTGTCCATGCTACCAATCAACTTTGGTGCATGACAGCGACCAATGATTTAACAGTGGAAGATGGCGGATCAACATTATGAAGATGGACTTGTTGCCAAATTTGGACTGGCCACTGGGGCTTTGCTGATATTAAAAGTGGCATGTGGTGGTCGACGGATTGGCAACGAAAGCAGATAGAGAATGGTGAAATCAGGTATAGTGGGGGAGCAAGGAGACAAGTAGGAGGAGGGTGGAGGTGATAGAGCAGTGGACTAGAATAAGTAGCCAGAAACAATTGCCTGGTGAGAATAAAAATGAGAGTTAAGGGCCCATGGTGGGGCTAAGTAAAGGAAAAAGGATAGGGGGAAACAATAAAAGTGAGGGCATAATGTGTAGCCAGTGGTGACGCAAAAATTTGCCAAAATGCCAAAATGTGGAAAGTACCAAATGGAAAGCAAAGGTGAGCACAACTTAATTGCCTAATAGAGGTGGTGCTGATAAGCCACAAGTTCAAAAATGGCAATATTAATTACTATTACATGTGGCACTGCGTCTGTGTGGCGCAAAGGTGAGTCTTTTGAATATCCACTTCATTATTGACACCTGTCTATGCTACCAATAATTTTGGTGCATGACAGCGTTTATCATAGTTTGGAATATTGCAGGGGAGTTAGTGAGTCCAAAGAACATCACTAATAGTTCAAATAACCCCCAATTTGTCTTAAACACCACTTTGTGTTTGTCCCCTTCTCTCATTCAGATATTGTTATATCCCCACCTAATATCTAACTTTGTGAAGTATTTGTCTCCACTCAGTTTGTCTACAAGTTCATTGATCAATGGAAGTGGATATCTATTTTTGATTGTGATATCATTTAGCTTCCTATAATCCTGCACTGGTCTCAGCTTTCCATTTTTTTTCTTTATAAAGAAGAATGGCGGTGATACAAACAGGGATTTGGATGGCCTTATCCTTCCTGATTCAAGATTCTCTTTAAGAAATGCACTTTTTGCTGTCCTCTCGCCAGCAGACAGACTCTGCAATCAAGAGAATGATCTCTTGGTACTAACTCTATCACATAATCCCATTGTCTTCTTTCTGGTAGTGCATCAAATTCTTTTTTATCAAATATGTCTTTGTATTGATGAAGATGTTTCAGCACTATCTTTTGAAATCTGCCTTCTTTTCTATCTTTACCTGCAGCTTCGGCTAGTTGCTGTGCCATTGTGCCTTGGGCCCTTATATGATAGTAATAATTGTCTAGGGTGGTGTTTTTGAAGTTTAAAATGTTGACTGCATTAATCTGTCTTTCTCTTCTTTGTTCAACTCCTCAAAGAATGTATCTGGATCTTCCTCTGGGTTAAAGATTCTGATCTTTGGTTTGCATTCTTTTGGACATCTTTCAAAAGATAGCTTCAACTTGACAAAACCGGATAAACCCGGTCTCTGCCGAAGCAGCCATTGTTCTCCATGAAGCATAGCCACCACTCCATGGAGTAACCATTGTTCTCCTAGGAGCACAATTGTACTCCTAGGAGTCATTATACTGTAGCGAGTAGCACCTCCAACTATAAGTAGTAGGGGGTTTAGTATAGAAATACCTCAGTCATTCCTATAGCCTCTCGGGCAGCGGCTGAGGTATGTTACATTACATTTATTAGAGATCACCTTAAACTAACATCTATTGTAGTTTCACTTAGGTTTATTACAACTTCTGCCAGTCTATAATGGGATTATGTTTGTTTAACCATTTGTGTCCAAGAAACATCTTT